AAGAATGAAAAACACATTTTTGTGAGAGTTACTTGGCTTGTAAATTACGCCCTGCTACGAAGTATGTAGGTTCATGCATGTAAACATCTTGGCTATATAAAAGCGGACAGATATATTTTTATTGTGTGTTGTGGACCCTGACTTACATAACGCCCTTTGAAAACAAGACCGTCTTTAACCTGTACTAAACTCTTGGGGATATATTCATCATGGAGAAAAATAATTTTCCTACATGATTAAAAAAAAAGTTAAATTCCTCCTGACATTCGTTCCTTGGTTGTCCTAGATGCAATGACTGAAACCTTCTGCTTCACATAACCAAATGTTTGCTGCATAAATCACTTTAGTGAGAAAGCGTGGAGTACACACTCCAATGCACAATCCAAGCAGTGGCTTTTGACCACTTTAAGAAAAATAAAATATATATATATAGTTAAATTTATATTCACAATTATGTCAATAAATCCCTAAACTGAAGACACCTTTGGTGTCCAAGGGTTGTGCATTTTATTTTACATTAATAACTTTACAAAGCATTATTGAAATTTGATGAACAGGGACTTTTTTTTTTTTTTTTTATGTCCGGCTGTGTACTGTAATATTGTATTCTTGCACTATGTGACTCGTATTTCATGTCAAGCTGGGAACTCTGGGATTTTTGTAAAAATGTGATTTCTCCAGTTTCTGCGTCCAAAGGGGACTTCCCAAAGTCCAACAACTTGAGATATGCAGGTCATGCACAACAATATTTTATCTGTTTGAACTATGGGTGTTTTATTGTGTTTGGTCTAACCACAGACTTTTTGGCACCTCTATCTATACCAGTAGTTGTTTTGTTCTTCTAACAAAAAAACAAACAAACAATTATTAATTTAAAAAAGTGCCAGATTCTCTTAGCACAGTGTGGGTTTACTGAATAGCAATTCATGCATTGAAATGTATGGGGAAATTGCTATTCAGTAAGCAGGGTAACTGTGTTTAGAGAATCCAATCCAAGTTACATAGTATAAATATGAAGTAACTTTTACTACTTTTCAGTCCCTATAACAAATTTTACATTTATGGCCAATTAAACATCACTGTAGGCAGGAGTGATTTTATTACCATTTTTCCAAAGAGAATATGATCAGAATAATTAAGGAATTAAATGTTATTTATTAGTATTTGACTTTTAGGGTTCGACTTTTAAATGTGCTATTACCTGTAATTAATATCCATAGAAACCGAAAACATATTAAATAGACTTACGAGTTGAAAAAACTAAATTATTGAAATTTAAAGGAAGCACATGTTACGAACTCTTTTCTGACCCACACAAAATATGGTAGTTTGAGATTGAAAGATATGCACATTCCATGTGCTAGTAGTGACTCCCCTTCTGTTCCTCACACAGTTTGTAAGGTAGTAATAATGATATGTTTTTCGAAAGGCTTTAGATTTTAGTTACAATTTGCTGTATATATGAAAAATCTTGAAAAACTTTCCCTGTTTTCTAACTATCTTGTGATACAAATTAGAAATTAATGTCTTGCCCATAATGCTGTTCCCTTCTTAACATAACTATTGTTTGTTTGTTTTTCTTGTTTGGTAAATTGCAAAAACAACAAAATGAAAACTTATTTAAAGACAGAACGATTATGTTAACGCACTATAAGCACATATCGTGTTAGTTTCCATTGACCAAAGGTCAGGATTACGTGTGAGCAGGAGGGTTAGTCTTAAACCAAGCTCAAGGAAAATACGCTGCAAATGGCAGGAGAATCAGGTAGAAGATAAAAGATTTTATTTTCCAAAACAATTAGTAAGTCTTACAGAGCCTTCAGAATATACTCACATAGGCGGACGGCAAAATGATCAGCTCTTCCATATCATCCATGAATCTTTAGGTTTTTTTGTCAATGGAATTACATTTTGGAGTAGCAAATTTTCCCTTCTTTTTTTCACGCCATATATTGATCTTTATGATCTATTGTATAACAAGAATCCACATCATCGTTATGAGATCTTCTATGTGTCTTTTAGATTTAAACGCTTACAAAATGTATGTTGCCAAGTTTGTTTCGACATAATCTGAGGACGTGTATGATAATGGAATTTAGTTCTGCTTGAAAAATCTCCTCCTTGCAAAACTTGATAAGTAATAGCTATATACCTTTCCCTAGTTCATTCAGAAGGACGTATTAATCTGAGGAGTTATACTGTAACGAACAAAAATGAAAATAATTGCTGAAAAATGCTTGTTCTTCACAGAAAAAAAATAAGTCAATGCAGCTGACTGTATTATAGGTTAGTTGACTGCAGTTTGCATTTATTTGAATGCTTATTCAAAATGTGAATTCTTCCAATATTTTTTATATAAATTGTGTATTACTTGTTGAGCAGTTTGCAAATTAGACATGGGCCCAACCAAGCTTTATTTCAAGTTTTGGCCCGGAAATACAAACAATTTCTCTACAATAATGCACACTACGTGGAAGATATCCTTAGCAACAGTGCACAATATGTGTATGTATAGTTCTTTTAGTGGTCTAGATTTCGTTGTTTGGCAGCCTTAAATTTGAGGAATAAATAAAGTCCTCTTTTTGTTTTAGGTAAATATTGGAAAGAGCAAGGTATGAAATTGTATGTAATATTCCAGATTATATATCGTCGCACTTACAATCACCAGCATTATCATAAGGAGAATTGCCACATCTGTAAAAACGCAATTTTTAGAACAGTTGGGTAGTGTAGAACAGGGGTAGGCAACCTACGGCACTAGTGCCATGCATGGCACTCGAGGTGTCTTTGCACGGCCCTCAAGGCTGCTAGAGCCAAACGCACCCTGGCCTATCAGGCGTCCCAGTAAAACTTCAGATATCTGCTAATACGAAGAGGTGGTGAAGGACAATCCTCAATTTATGCATTGCAGCACATCGAGGAAGTGATCTCAGATCACTTCCTCCCAGCACTTCCTCGACAGCTATCGCAGCTCCTGTCCTTGACCTGTACCTGGCCAGCCTAGATATACACAGAAATGCAGAATAACCGTCCCCTCATACAAATAATATGAACAGCCCCCACACACACACACAACACACAATCCCCACAAATGCAACACCACTAACAATATACATACATGCACACAACCCCACATGCAGCCTCTCACATGCAATACCCCAAACAGCCCCCACACACTACCAAACACACAATGTGACATATCCATCCACACACAATTCCACAAGCAGCCCTCATACAAAGCCCACATTCATATGTATCATACACGATACCATAAACTACTAATGAACATATACAATATAATAGCTCATATACACACAAATACAACGATACAAAGCAATTACAGTAAAAATAACACAAGCAGAATACGGCAGCATACACACCTCAATTTAAAAAAATAGGATCGGCACGCTATGGGACATCACAATCCTATATCGGCACAGTGCTGCTAAAAGGTTGCCTACCTCTGGTGTAGAAGATTGTCCATACTATGGCTGCAATAAAAGGGTCTAAATGACCGTAATAGAAAACACTTTGATTCTCAAGGGGATCAAGACGATTACATTTCTTTTTTTTTTATTTCTTTTTTGGTCACAGAGATGGGTTAGGAGAAGCCCTGCTAAAATTCTGCCTGCTGTCTCACTCTTGCAATACTGTGCTCACAGACATCTCAATGCACCGCATGCTATTTTAATCAACAGAATAATGGTGTGAAAATACAGCTCTCATTCCTTGTATGCTAATGACCCAGGGGGCATTTGCCTTCCTGCCCTGTTGCCAGCCCTCCTATGCCTTGCATGCCTGTCAACTCCCATTGTTGTCCCCAAGTGACACTATTTTGCTTCAGTCCTCTTAATCAACTGACAGACTGGTTCTGTCACCCAGTGTGGGAAGACTGAGTGAGAATGTAGCTTGAATGGATGATTGAATGCAATCTTGCTGCATGTTTAATCAGTTTCTGGGCATTTAAGTCCATGCATAAGTGCTTTAGAGGTGCTAGGCAAATGGTCAGCCCTGACTGGGCTCAGCTCGGCAGTCTACCACACTGCTGTGATTGTGTGTCAGGATAGGTCACCCTTTTTTGATGGGGCACGTTGTCCGAGAAGCTAATTGCATCATGGGCACACCCACCTTCCACTCCCTCACAAATTCCGTACCTCTATGAAAATTAGACGTGCAGCAGGTCTGTGCCTAGTACTACATTTGTGAATCCTGAGACCACTATTACAGTAGCACGCCGAATATAAAAACGTACAATCATACAAGACATTGCGTGCATCTTTAAATGATCCCATTGTACAGCGCTACGGAATTTGCTGGCACTATATAAATAATAAAATAATAAATAATAATGCCAAATAAAAATTTATTTTGAAAAAAAATTAAACTTGTTCCTGTGCTGTGGTTCCAAACAACTGTCGTCATTTAGGATAAAATGAAATCTAGCGCCATTATAGTATAAACTGTGTAAATAAAGGCACAGCGTGTCCGATCAACTCAAGAACGTTACAGATGTATATACGCATTGTAAAAAAATATATCTATATATAATAAAAACAAATTTTTTTTACAAAAACGGTGTGCATTGTAAAATCATATGCTCAATATGTATTGGAAAATCATAATTTTCAAAAATCCCGACTGCATTTTACACATTTAATACCTTATCATCCTACTGAGTCTCCCTTAGATACATCCTAGCAGCTTTTGACATACTATAATTGACACTATTTATTCCCTAATATTTAACACACACGTTGCCTGATTCCAAATGTGAATATTCTGGTCACATTACTGATTATTTCACTCTCTGTGACTGTGAATGGGTTAAACAAGGAAGCAAAGCTCCCATGAAGCCTGGCCTGTCACTGAGTGTGTTTATGTCTAAAAGCTTTGCATTTGCACAGATGCACCCAGCCCATTAGATGCACCCAGCTCATGCACTGGAATGTACTTAGATAAACACTGCATAGTAAAATACCTCCCTTTTATACAGCCCACAGCCCTGCCAGCCAATCACGGCGCCGAGCGGTCTCAAGGCTCCCCCAGCACACTGCCCAGCTCTAGGAAAACAAAGCTTAATTTCCAAGAAAACCTTTTATTTTCCAGCCTCTGAAGATCATAGCTTTTAATTGCAAGCCAAGTCAGGGCCCCTGGGTGCCCCTCTGCCGAGCCTTGCGGTGTCCAAGAGGCAGATCTGGTGAGGTTGTTTATCTATAGTATTGAGGGGGGGGGGGACCTTGAAACGGCCGATGTCCCATTTCCTCTGTTGTTTTGCTTCTTTTAGCCCAGCGTTCTCCATGTTGAAACAATTCTGAGATTTGGGTTCTGATCTCTCTCTATGTATCAACCTACCTGCTGGGCTGATTTATTATATATTATATATATATACACAGCTTTTTAGTGCATGCCTTTTCCCCTCTCTCCATATATTGCAAGCAGTAGGATTGCAATAGGAGAGAGAGAGAGAGGTAGTAACAAGGAATTTTTCAGAGAGGGAGAGCAGTTGGGGAGGAGAGAAAGAGAGGTACAGGATCCAGATCTGGAGAAGAAGAGAAGCTCAGCACTGGATCTGTGCAAGTCTTAGATGGAAAGCAGCTGCATGATCACTCAAGTAACGAGAGAAGAGGCGCTTGTGCATCCTAAGCAAGGTAAGCCAACCACACTGCAAAGTGCCTGGCTCTGTCCTTTTTATATGCTAACATTTCCTGCAGAAATCAGCATTAACAGAACTCCACTAGATCACTTGTTGTGATACCCCCAACCCCTCTTCTTTTCAACTTCAGCGCATGCATCATGTTTCATTCAACCTTTAATAGACTTTTTTTTGTTAATTTTGGTTTCTGGTCTGCATGGTGGATGTTTGAGTTATGAGATACAAATCTTTGTATTTCTTCCATCAAATATGTATCTAATTGTATACATAAACACAGAATTTCCAAGTGGATTTTTGCACTATAGCCATCTCATTTTCCATAATCGGTTTTATCTATCTATCTATCTTATTATACAACCGTGTTTGTTCTTCTTTACTGAGAAGAGAAAAACATCTCAGTCCTGCACACTCCCAAGCATTTAAGGGGTGTGTTCTGTACACATTTTAAATAATGCTCTCTCATAATGATTTGCTTTCCTATGAAGGTTGACACTGTTTAGTAAGGATTTAGCTCACCATTTATTTGTTTTGTTATACGTTTGTTTGTTACCCTGGGGTAGCTTGTAGATGCCTTATTTATACTGCTTAGAACATTTCGCTTTTATAGCACAAATGTAAAAAAACTGCTAAGATCTGAAGAAGCACGTTACACATAGGAAAGTCTGTGCTTCTTGTTGTTCTGCATGGTGGCAACATAACTCTTGTTGTGTGGCACTATGTTGGAGAGGTGTGGAGCTGGCTATTTTTAGTGCTGTTAACGGTTTGCCACCGATCTGAGACACGTAACGTTCTAAAGAACCTTAATATTACAAATCAATTTATGAGCATTTTGTTTGTATTGTTAGGTTTTTGTTTTTTTCATGTGTGAATATGTCAAGTTTGTCAGTGATGACATTTTGTGTATTTAAATGTCAGGTTTGCAAGTGATGGTGTTTTGTTTGCATTATTTTTAATTTGCGCATGTAAATCTATATAAAATTTCGGTTTCAAAATGATCTCATGGTGACTCTGCAAGAAGTGCGTTGTGTGATGGGTTTTTGTTTGCAAGTGGAGAGTGAGTGATGCACTGTTCATTTGGCTTCTACTTTCTGTCTTAATTTGCTTTTCTCGTTGCATTTGGTTAATTTAACATGTAACTGTACCTGCTATCTCTCCTAGAATGTGGACATCAGAGCTAAGGGTTTCAGTGGGTACAGAACAGGTTTTATATTCCCCCCAAAAAATTCCACACTTGGCATATCTACCCAAACCAACATTTATGGAAATGGCTTAGAATTTACACAGTGATTTGAAACACTGATGAAAATGATTTTAGTTTCTGACATACAAATCTTATTTTAGATGAAACATTTTGGGGTAATGAGTGCAAAGTATGAATATTTTGTATCATCTGTAACAAAGTGTTACGGTGTATTTTGTTCTAAGTATAGCAAGCAGAAATGGATGGTGCTTTGGCTCTGCCCATCATTATAGTTTAACCAAAACAAACACTGCCTGGCATTACTCAACAATCTCTCCGCCTTACTCCATTTATGTTGTTTACGACCAGACTGAAGGCGGTTCAGTTAATATATGGTGTGTTTAACCACTCAGATTAAGGAATACCAATTCTAACAGATCCTTTGGTGATTTAAAAAAAAAAAAAAAAGATGTTTATGCAACAAGCCGAAATGCTATTGGCATTTCTCAATTTTGACTCTCTGTATATGTAATTATTAGATATATATATTTTTTTCAATGAAGAGGCTGATCTAATCATTCATGTGGATGGTGCAAAATGGATGTATCGAGAGAAAACAGTCACACCTCTTTTGGCACACTGAAAGTCTGCACAAAATGGGTCCCGAGTCTTGTTTTGCTTTCAGTTTGTGAAGTGGATGCTTCCCTTATTGGCCAGTTTGCATAGTAAGATAGGAATTTTATAAACTCATATTTCAGGTGTATTTGACGAACACTGATCAAAGAGATGCTTGATAGTCCTTATTTGTAGTGATCAGTTTCTCAATTCAGTTTGTAGTTAAACAAGTTGGAACAAACCTGTGTTGATCTACGCTAATTTGTTATGAGTCAAATATTTCTAGTAAATGAATCTGTTTTATTAATTATTAATAATGAATCTGCATACTTTGATAGGGACAAATGTTCTCCTTGTACTAAATTTAACAGGTTACTAAATTAGACCAGAATACACCCCTGCTGTTTGTTGCAATGGCAGATCTGACGGGTAAACGTGTATACAGCTACACCTTAAAACTTCTTTCCCAAAAAAAGACCTTGAAACACATCTCGGATCTAGTTGATACGTGTTTGAGACTGCTGTCCCTTTTGCTTGTTTACAGTAAACAAAGCCTCAAGCATAGCTCACTCCTTGCTTTGATTTATTCCTGGTACAATACAGTTAAGCTGAAAACGAAATGTCCACCTCTGTAATGTAATATTGAAAGGCTTAGAAACAAAAATGCCTATTTAGCAGAAACATTGGAAAGGTGTTTAATGGAGTTCAATATAAAATACAAAACAAGTTGTTTTTGTCATGTATATGATTTTTAAATTTGAATCGTGTAATACACCATATTATTTCTCTTCATGTATAAAAGCTTATGGTAGCGAATGATCATCAGTTTAGTCACTTATTTATTTTTGCACGAACACAAAAGTATAACTGAACGAAATGAAAATGACTATTCATGTATAGTTATGTTTACATTATTTCTAGAATCCAATTATGAATAGCATATGTTCCACATCTGTTGTGAATGTATGTGTGATACATATATATGAGAGTCTAGTATATACGTTTGGCAGAGACCATAATCGTTATGGATTTTAATATACAGAAAAGTTCAAATAAATATACAATAATATATATTTTTGCCAATACCCATCATTTTTATGACATGCTTGTCTGGTGTGTAGAAGTAAACTTTAGATAAAATCTCCTGAAGATAGCCATTTTCAATTCTTGGTGCTCCTTCCACCACTGTGGTCTGTGGGCAAGATGACAGCATCTTTTATAAAACTACTCGGGTGATGCGTAAGAAAACCCCGTTTCTAGCTATGGCTGCTGAGAAAGTGCGGCGTTTGGCGGTCATTCTGCCTTTTGACAACCTGTCCCATGTGACATAGTGCCTACCTTCTTATATGTTATTAATGTATTGTGTCAGCTGATGCTCTCAGCCTGTCACTGCCCGTCAACTGCAAGTACGTACATAGCATAAGTATAGTGATTACGTTTGTATATATCTTGATTTGTAGTGCGGTTCTGTACTGAGATCCTGTCTGTGTTGCAGGTTTATTAACACAACTAATAAAGAAAAATGACACCTAGCTGTTGTTGGCTAGCATGAAATTAAACTTTTAAAAGAAAAACCCAAAAGTTAAACAGGTATCGTGTGTGTGTGTGTGTGTGTGTGTGTGTGTGTGTGTGTGTGTGTGTGTATATAGATAGATATATACTCCTTAACAATGGAGTAAAACAGAAGTCAATCCAATGCAATGTTATTTTATGCAGTGATATTAAATGGATCTAACATGCACGGGTACAGTTACCTTTAGACCATGTTCTGTGGGGCTAAGCTCCTTAAAAAACCTTCACCACTGTTTGAAGAATAACATAATGGGCAAAGTGGGGCTTCTCTGTCATTGTAGTAAGGTAATAGCATGTTGTGACAAAGTTAAAAATAGAAGAACAAATATAATACATTTGCACAATGTGCAAGTATTAAAGAATCTGAAACAAAACCTGTTTTGTAAATAACATTCTAATCTTGGTTTTCAAACAAGAAAATTGTTTTGAGCGTGTGAGCGTGTTTTGTTTTGCCAGTGTTCCCTCCACCTGACTGCTCAGTATCTGTATTAGTCACTGACGTGCATTGATATATCTGACATTTGTTCCTCTGAGCACAGCAAACTGGCGTCTCAAATCCTGTCATTAACAGGAACTGCTTCTAAAGCATGATATTTTTGTGATCTGACATTTATTTTTATTTCTTTTTTTCACCTGTTAAACAATAGCTAATTTTATCATGGGATTGATCACTAGAATGCAGTATGTTTGATGGGTAGTTAAATAATTAATTTATATCAGAAATGTATTTGGTATGTAGGGCATTGTTAACTTAAAGTAGTGGTTTTTGTTTTTTTATATTTTTTTTTTAGTTTTAGTTTTTGTGGGTGGAAAGATACATAAAAGGGTTGTTGGCGGCAAATTTCAATTTAGTTTTAGTCATAGTCTTTTGACTAAAAGGCTATTTTAATTTTAGTAATATTTTAGTCATCTGAATTGTTTTTAGTTTTAGTCTATTTTTAGTCGACTAAAATTTGACTAAAATTGTTAGTTGACAAAATTAGCACTGCTCCACACTGGTGCAACCTGCACGTATAGAGGAATGTTTAAAGTACCCCTGTCTTATGAATCATGCTGAACCGTCATATAGCATTATGATCCCTCTATCCTGTGCTGATCATTTTGTAAATCTGATCTGCATTTTCTGTTTTATAATATACCAGTCAATATTTTTTGCTAGCTTTATACATGTTGGGCACAAAGCATCATTCTTTGAGAGTTCAAAGAACTATTGCCAGTTTCCTGCACCGTGAAAGCTGGGATCAGTAATCGGACCTTTTTATTGACTGTATGCATCACATGGTCTCCACAGCCTTGTGTTTTTATTAGTACCTGCACAATGTTTGAAAATGATGATGCTGTTCATTGGTACTTTTCCACACTGAGACGGTGACAGGTGACTTGCTAATGTGAGTAGTTCAGTGAAAGTAAGTTTGTGTGTTTTGTTTTTAAAAAACAAAACAAAAAACAACTCCTCTAAAGCACTCCTTTGTCTATGACAGCCTTACTGGATTATGATTGTTCTTGGGCATCTGCAAAGGAATTCACACTTGGGCATTAATTTGATAGAGTTGCGAGCCCCTATTGACCTGCTGCACCGTATTCTCCAATGTAATCGTGCAGGAGCCTAATGTGCTTGTGTGCCGAGCTTACATTAGGCATTGCCTATTTGCCTATAGGAAAGCCTTACATCAGTGCATTCCTATAGGAAATTTAGAAGATGCTGGATGTCCTCAGGCATGCAAAGTTTTTGTTTATGGAGTTAACCCTGCAATGAATCAAGGTTTAAAGGGGACAGAACACTGCAACCCGACCGCTTTAATGAGATGAAGTGGTCTGGGTGTCTATAGTAACCCTCGCCTACAGAACCGCTTTAAATTAAATTTCTATATCTTTAACACCTCGCATCAGGTGGAAGTGGGGTGGGACCCTGAAGGGGCAATCGGAAGTGACAGAGATCTGCATCACTGGTGATCCTCATAATGGACACGCCTGCCCACTTTTAGGCTATCTGGCTAGCCCCAAGGTTTCAAAACTGCGCAGGAAATGCTGCTAAAACACACCCTTCATGGTCACACTCCTAATGCAAGTACGTCTAATGATGTGCTGGCATTGTGCTGCCCGGGGACTGTTTCTTGCTATCCCCAGATGCAAGACACCAGGGAACTGAAGTGGGACAGGCCCCCAAAATTGGGTCTGTCCAGCTCCTATGTGGGGTGTCTCTCTTTGACTGTTTCATTTGCTGAAAAAGAGCTTACAGATTGACAAAAAATTATTGTTATGCTCTGTTTCATACAACATTTTACTAAAAACCCCAGAACAAAAAAAAGTTAAAAATTGAAGAATAACTGAACAGACCATAACTAACATTTCTAACTGGCTTTTGGGTAGAGCAAAATAGTTTTTTTTTTTTTTTTTTTCAGAATGTGAGCAGTATTTGAACTGTGCTCGATTTCACACATTAATTTTATGCATTCTTGGGATTGTCATTATTTAAATGGTGCCAACAAATTCTTATATAGCAAATACAATATTTAAATGTACCCAGTCCTTGTTTTCTCCACCTAAAGGCGAACACTTGTGAGAGTGGTGAAAAATACTTTTTTGCTTGCTGGAACTTTCCATAAATCTTATAAGCCCCTTTTTCCAGGAGATGTCACCATTACTTTATTTTGCAGATATAAGTATAGAGCAGGTTTCTGGAAAATCCCACAACACTGGTAAATTTAGTGGGATTGCCTCACACATACATTTGCATTGACTGTTATGAACTATGCACACCATCAACAGTTAATATAAATGCAATGGCTTATGAGAGGGAATGCTAGCTGAACATCCAGTTTCCGATCTGAAAGTTGGTGTTACTGCAGGCATCATGACCACTTTAGTTATCTTGAAGTGGTCATGGTGCCTGGAGTCTGTATGTGCAGAATTTTTCTGTAAAAAGTTGTGCATGCCAAGTTTAGGCCCTTTCCTGCCGGAGGTCTAACTCATCAGCAAGCCCTGGACAACCGTTTCAGGCTGGATAATGTCCCTCACAGGAAAATATATATGCACAGACACTCATTCAATATGAGGGCTGGATCTGCCCAGAAAGGGGACAAATCCACCAGATGTTGGGCAGGCTGCCTGTCAATCTTCCAGATCAGCCCATTGCGGGGGAAGGGGTGCAGGTGTTACTTTGTTGCCCATTGAGTTAGGCAGGCGGTACTCACTAGCCTTTATACTGAAATTTGTTTTAAAGCAGAAATTTTATTGGGTGTGCGAAAGTGTGTGTGTTTGTGGGTGAGGCTTTAAGCAGCTAGAATGGACATATCGATGTTCACTGTAAAGTTGATTATTCATTGTAGAAAGTATCCTTATAAATTGTCACCGCTTAGATCTCTTAATTTAAGGTCTTTATACTCCGCTGCTGCTTCCTAATGTAAAAATATACTCTTGTTAATTGCAGGGCTTGGATGAAGCATTTAAATACCTGTTCCCGTTTTATCACTTGATGCCTTTCTATTTACTACATGTTGGCTCTTTGAAATATAATCCCCACGATAGCAATATATTTGTATACAAATTATCCCGTTTTTATTATCCCCAGTGTCACTCTCCCAACATAGACTCATTATTAAATGTATTTACTGAACAAAGTTTTTACACCGCATGTCTGTGACAAGTCCTCAAACATTACTCTGGCGAAGAAAAGAATTGTACAGCCTCCAGTTATTACAGATACAGTATGAAAATGTATTAAGGAAACATGAAAAATATGCAGTGCTATCATTTGCACTTGCTATATAGAGTGCAGATTTAATTTATTTTTTTCAGTTTGCTTTAAGCCATGTAGGATGTTACAGTTCTATATATTTTGTTGTGTGCACATACATGTATATACATGTATTCCAGCCCAACATTGTTTGCGTTCTATTCTGAGAATGTGGCGTGAATTTAATTCTCAAGTTGTTGAAGTTTTTTTTAATTTTTTTTTTTAAGGTTTTTCTTTTTCTTTTTTTTTCTTTTGGTATAGATAACTCACAACAGTGTTTTTGACATAATGCATATGATATTTGTCTCTCTCTTTTTTTATATACTTCAAATGTTCTTTAAAGGGACACTGTAGGCACCATAAACAATAATGTGTGCTGCAGTGGTTATAGTGGCAGTTTGTGAGTGGTTTGACATCTACATTACTGTATTGTCACCCACAGCCCATCCGGTCTGAGTTGGAGTGATAAAGCTGACGTTTCCTCATTATCATACCAACTCATGCCTTGTTTAAACAGTATTCACTGTCTGAGAACCATCAGCTGATAATCTCCGCCAACAAATACTAGTTCTGTAAAACTGCTAGAACCACTATAATAAGCTTTAGTTATTATCTTGGAGGGTTATTAACTAAAGTGAGAATGGATGTGAATTCAAAGTAAATTTCAAATGTAAAGCCATATTTAACCAACTGAACCCAAAAATGACCTGGAGTATTTTTTGAATTGGCCAAATAATTGAATTCTTGACAACTCTCACTTTACAGGGTTATATACTAATGTGAATTTTAAATGTAACGCCAGAGTAACCGACCTGAAAGCATTGCTAACTTAAAGGGACTTAACTTCCTAATACTATGGTTCCCTACCCCTGTAAAAAATAAAGGGTTAAAAACCCTTAAGTCACTTACCTGATTCCAGCACGGTCCTTCCTCGGTGCAGGGTTGGCGCTCTGACTCCTCTGATGTGCCCTGCGCTTTAAGCCTTCCTCAAAAGAAAGCATTGACTCAATGTTTTCCTATGGGGATTTTGCTAACACTGGATGTCCTAATCCAGAATAATTTAGGCGACACAGACCGGTAAACTCCCAGAAGCGCCTCTAGTGGCTGTCAAGGAGCTCCTGGCACCATAACAACTTTATTTTAATGACATTGTTATTTTTCCCTGTTGTGTTATTTGAAAATACAGTCAATTTTTTTTTTAAAGTATAGTACTCAATTTACATATGCACATTGTTACTATTTGAATGTTTATGATTTTGGTCAGTTGGTTATTAAACTTTACATAGTACGTTTACACTTTTTAGTATTGCGGGTTATATTCCTGTCAGGATGATCGAGCTCAGCCTTTTATCCTTCCAAAGTTTATTTTAAAATTGGTAAAATCTTCTCCAACTGCTACAACTTGTTGGGTAACACCAGTCTGAGGTGGCATTCTCTTTTTTAAAGCAGCATGTATCACATCATACCTGCTGCATGTCACTGTAGGGGTTACAATTACTTGTATGGTTTGCACGAAATACAGTGTAAATTCAGACATACTATGTAAATTCAACAAAAATGTGCTCAGAATTTAAAATACATTTTGAGGAGGGAAAAAGCACATGGCTCACATTTCTTTAGCTGTCAGGTTGTGCAAAAATTTTACATGTGACGACTCTAATAAAATAATAATGTGTGCAGCTTTGTCCAATTATTTGTGTGCAGAATAAAACCCATGTTTACATTTTTATGGTGTTTAGAGCCCAAAGAAAATAAAAAGTTTGTGTACACCTAAAACATTGATGATCAGGAAGGTACACGCTGATGGTGTGATACTGCTACTTTTAAACAAGTGTGATGAGACGAACATAAAATAGCTCTTATTATATTTCTCAGGTAATTTACCAAGCTAAATTTTATGGCAATACTTTTAAGATTAACAAAGCAGTGCTTGTTACCCTTAATGTATTGCTAATCCTTCTGACACTGAAATCGTAGAGAGATCAGATACATTTGAAGAAGTCTTTTGATGTTTTAGCAATGGATGGCTTTTGTTTGTGTTGTGCAGCTGAGCTACTAAAATACCATACATTCCTACCAACTCATGTACATTCTTGCTCTGTCCCCAGCCCATTCATATACTTGTGGGTCCTGCGTGTTTTTAACATCTTTCTGTATTTTTTATTTTTTTTTTTGTCACGTTGGGTGGAGCAGATTGCTCACCTGCAAATACCCTGGTTTGTACACTTACAGAGCCAGGAGCAAATAACATGGAGGTGTGATTGTATCTCTTTGTACAATCTATTTATGTTTAGCTATGATCTGTATGGTTGCTGCTTAGGGGAGACCTTTTTGATAAGAAGGGACATTTTTGTGTTGTGAACCTTCGAGGAACTGCAACTTCTCTAGAGCTTAAACTATTGATTAAAATGTGAAACTCACCTGTAGCTTGTTAGGCTTTTTTTTCAGGAGATGTCTTGTTTTCTTTTAAGTTAATAATATAGATTTAGCAAATTACATCACAATCCAGTTCTGACAAGACAAAGCCAGGGCAAACATTGCGGAGGCGGAGACCTAGAAACATTGTTTAATTTCTCCTCATCTGTTTGTTTTCTCAATGCTTTCTGCCAGGTGCAAGGACAGGGCACTGGGAGCTAAAATGGTTTGCAGGATGAGGTGTTTAGTTCTACATTGTATTTTGTTGTTCACGCTTCACAAATATAGGGTAAAGTAAACGTAATATTAAAAAGCCTGAGAAGGGACAGTCCCCCTTTAATAGTTTAATAAACTTAGAATAACAGCTTGTCAGGATTATTCACTAAAATCCCAATAGTTTGTTGTTCTTTCATTCACTAAAATGCGCATTTCCAGAAATTCAAATACAATTTACATTCGCATAGAATTTAAAGGCAATATCTTTATATTTCACCTTTTGTGCCCTGTGGGGCACCTGTCATGGCTTAATTGACATTGGTAACCACCCAATGTAATTATTTTTATTTATTTTTTTATTTTTTTTGTTCCAACTTCAGTATGTATGAGGGATGTACTTGAATTTATCCATGGATAAGAAAAGTTAATACAACCTACTATTTCTGGCCTTTTCATGCTAAGTGTGCATCATGGGAAATCGACCTTATAACAGCTGTACAACCAAAGGAACACTATCCCTTCGATACAGGATGGTTAGAGGTTGAAAAAGTATAGCACTTCAAAGGAAACCATCAACCTCTAATAAACATAGCCTATGAGTGTTGTCATAAAGAAACACAATCTACTAATAAAAACAAAACAGACTCATCTGGCTCACACTGTATTGATTAGTTCTCTTACTCATCTGGAGAAATGCAGTTATAAATGCCTCATCTGAGATATACATATATTCTTCAAGCAGCGAATTGCTGATAATATGGTTCAAAATCTGTATTTTGACCAAGTTGGAAAAATTAACCAAATCATATTCACCAAACAATTGTTTTATTTATTTATTTATTTAGATTGGTTAAACGGACCCTGCTTTGGAAATAGTATATGATTTGGTGAATTTTTCCAACTTGGTCAAAATACAGATTTTGAACCATATTATCAGCAATTTGCTGCTTGAAGAATGGTCCCTTTGTGTTACATGTCATCTGCAATGGGCAGATTGTATCCAATGAATACCATTTTATTTTTGTTGATGAAATACTTATATTGTAGTTGTATTTGGGCTACAAATCCTTCCATATTTGAATGTTGTATTAATTAACCTGTTTACTATTTGCCTACTACTCAATTTCCCTGTTTATGTTTAATAAAACACCCAAGCAACTTTTATTCCTACACTACACATATGTGCCAATTGATAAAGGTGGCCAAAGTATGTGGGAGTGTGTTAGGGGATAAGGGTTCATATGTTAAGCTGTGCAACATTGGCATTTTGTCAGGGTTGACAATTTTCTTAGAATTTATGAGCCAGGGCAAAAAGTTAGGAGCCACATAAAATGTAAAGAGAGATCAGCAACTGCTCATGTATTTCAAAATGGCCATTCCTGTGCATGGTTCTGCAATCCAACCACACAATGATATATATATATAATCTCTATCTATCTATCTCTTACCAAAATAGTGACAGGGAATGATTACATCACCAAGTGGTAGACAGATATTTGTACCAGGTGCTCCTTTGTGTTGCCATGGCAACCCATGTCTGAAATCATAGATTAAATGTATGCCAACCTGTAGGTGAACATGCCATATAAATATTTTGTGGATGTCCAGTTCACTTTAAACTTATGCAGCAAAAAAGATGCAGTTTTGTCATCCTCTTCTCTGCCCCGCTTTTTCTATTTTAGAACACAAAATTAGAAATAATTTAGTAACAAGGAGTTTGATCCCCGTAAAATAATGGCTATAATTTAACAACCATCTTGGTTGGTGTGTCTGGTTTCAGATTTTACTCCTGGGATGCGAGCAGGCCGCAGTGTCTGGTACTTTACTATACTGCTTTAGTGACACAATGTCTTCTTGTGTTCTGTGCGTCTGAGTTATTTACAGTGTCAGCCTTTGATAGGTGGTCTGAGATACTGCACTGCTGAGCTTGCTCTCTTGTTACACTAGCAGGCTTTGAAAGCTCAATTAGATCACAGGCACTCAAATCATAAAGGGTGCCTTCTGTCTGCACATTACTGATTTACACAGCCTTAGGGCTACTCCCCACTACTCACTTTCTCTCAGACCTATTATGTGGTCTTCACAAACATCACCCTGCCTGCTTGTTTGGAACTGCTGAGCAATATAAACAATATTAAAACCTTCCCCTTGCCATGTTTGCTTCCCCTCAGCAGTATAATTTTAAGGTACCATTGTCAATATAGGTTTTTAAAAAGTGGTGTTATTTAGCACTTCTGGTCCAGAGCGTGTGTTCTACAAAACTCCACACACATCACGTTACCCAGGCATTGCTCACGGACCCATGATAAATCATATTTTTAAAAGAAAGTTATATAATATGGCACAGCAGTACGTTGTCCGTCTTCAGGGAAATTCTGTTTTGTGTGCTAAATGCTGCTGATGGTGTTTTTATCCCTGTAATAATATTATATGAGGCCCATGGCAGTATTTTATTAAATTTTTTTTTTTTTTTATACATACCTCACCATTTCTTACATAGTAGCGGTTTTGACCTGGTGCTCAACACAGAACAGTATAAATTGAATTGTTTTACTAATAGCAGGCTGTCCTGTGGGTTCCAGCCTTGATATTGTCCACATACTTTCGTCGCATGTTTATTTAAAATTTATAATAAACAGACATTCATTATTCCATGTCGTGTACAAAATACCCTAAAATGATATCTTGGTTTGATTCTCCCTTGGGGAGATTGAGAACAGTTTTTGCATGTTTCTTTGCGACAAACATAGAATTCTAGATTTAATAAAATGCACTTTTAATAAGGGTGCCTGGGGTAAAATGCATACCTTTGTTTTTCTAATGCCTTGTAAGAAGAGTATGCTTTGGTATCCAGTGATATGTGGTGGTGTTTTTTTTATTTTTTTTTAATTCCCTTACAGCCTTTCCTTTATAATTGCAACTATTTTATTTATTTTCATTCTCATGTCTCCTTCCTGTGTGTTTCAAACAGACTGAATTAGTCTCTAAATCTCAATCACTGTCTGGACAATCTCAAACAACCAATAACAAGTTACTTAGATATATAGAACTTTTAGTTCACCATAGGAAGTGGAGGTGGGCAGCAGGTAAGAAGTCGAAATGTTCTAAAACAGATTTACTCCTTCCAATAGGGGTGCACAAGGGCCCTCTTGCCACCATAGCAAATACATACTGCTGTAGTGGTTATGGTGCTTGGATTGTTTCTTTGAATGAGAAATTTACGTTGCCATCTAAGATTGTATGTGGCAAATGTACACTGCACACACAACTTGGATGAATATCACTCTCCATCTCTCTCGGGATAGAGCTGAAAAGCGGCTTTTGGTGGCTTGATAGATTGCTTCATAAAACTATAAAAATACCTGCTGCAGTATGACTGCTAGCCCCTTATTCATTAATTCCACTCCTCCTATGTAATAGTTGAACTGCAAGTGGGGACTCAAACGTATCATCTAGAAATACTGCTGGACAAGAACATGGTTACATTTTGCACAATTCTTAAGGATTTGCTGACCTGGTTACTTTGTCCCTTTAATAACCTGTAGGACAGAGTGTCCTGCTTCACAAACTGTTTGCTGTTCTACACGTTTCATTGACCCATTACTGTGTTTCTCGTGCATAGTGTGTGATCCTAGGAGCCACCTGCCCCTTTCCCTCTGACACTGTATCTGGAAGACAGATTGGCTCACCATCTGCCGCCTGAACGCTAAAGAGAAATACAGCCAGCTCATTTTTCAGCTCTTTCAGTGTATTCTGCGCACTTATTGTACGTCCTGACAAGACAATTGAATCTTCTCTTTCTGTTTTTAAATGGTTTCATAGTTCAAAGTTGCTTCTTGTTGCCCCACATCTGAGCTCCTTAAAGACCATGACTGTAGGAGGAAGTTTTGACAAGATTCGGTGACACATTTTTAACCCCTTAAGGACCAAACTTCTGGAATAAAAGGGAATCATGACATGTCACACATGTCATGTGTCCTTAAGGGGTTAAAAGAAAATTTAATCTCCCAAAGAAAATGCTTTTCTAAAATGGTGTAGGTTTTCCTTACACCAATATGAGTTGTTAATGATATTATCCAGGCTGATATTTCTTAATAAATGTGTCAGTAAGGAATTCTGGTAAGCGCCATAATGCTACATTATATGCGTCGGTCACACCCTTGTTCCTTTACTTGCTATCATGCACTCAAAGCCCAGCGGGATCTTCCACAAATATGTCCTAAGCTCCTGTTGCTCGATCACAAATGATTTGACATTATCTATATGTAACCTTTAATCATTGTGCAGTGCGTAGAGTCCACGATTTGCCGAACGACACTAGTGATGTCACTTGTCAGGGGTGGTTCTCCATCACTGCGAGACTTTATCTGTTTGCAGGAATACACATTGTATTGTTCTGTCTGTAATCATTCCATTCACTATAACCTCATTATCCTTGCACTATTGCATATGTTTTTTTTTGTTTTTTTCTTTCTGCTTGCATTTATAAAAGTTTGAACCAACAGTTCCCATCAATAAAATATATTTGGTGTGAGCAGTGCTCACATCTAATAAATCACTGTAGGAAAGCCAAATGTCGCCAGTGGGATTGAGAATCTGTGTTCTGCTAGTTTTGGGGAAATCTAAGTTTCAGTAAGGGAGAGGCCCTCTGGTGCAAAATCTCTCTGAGAAAGCTTGAGAGAAGGATAACAAGTTAACCATGTGCTAATCCATTCATGTCACTAACTAGAGAGTGTCAGCCATCTTACTGCTATTAGCCATTTCATGGAATATCTAACAGCACTAAGTCACTACATTTTTAAGGATCGCTATATTTGTATAGATCAGTTAGGCACTCAAAGACCACTTGACGGTCTATCCCGTCATGCAGTGCAGGGTTTTAATGTCCAGTCATGGCATAGACCGTCATTCAGTAAACGTACCAGCATTGGTTAAATCCCTGCTGTTACCAAGGAACCCCAGTTATATTTTGGTACCTTGGGTTCTCCTCTATCAGCTGGGGCCAGGATAAGTCGCCCTCCAGGGTTAAAGTGCGGTGAGAGCAGTGTTATATTCCTTATCACACCAGGAAACCCAGGTATCAATAGATAATGGGGCTCCCCTCTGTCAGCTGGGGCCCTAGTGCCCCTAGACGTTTTGATGAACTGCATGCAGTGCTGAAAATCTGAATTTTAGGCTTAAATAGCAAACTGGAAAAATTATCCATATCGGCTATGTATTTCAGTTTGGCTATGTAGGCCTAAAATGCGACCTTCACTTTCAGCTTCGGACATTCAACAATTCAGTGAATCGGTTCTCTAGGAAATAGAATGGAGAAAATCATTGTATGTTTAAGTAAGTAATTCCTGCATATTTTAACCTTAAACGTCAGGTAGGTCAATAAAATGATTGTAGGCAAGAATTTGTGATTTGAACAAAGTTAATTAACTTCTTAATTGCCAAAGCCCTCAATACAAGTAGCCCGGATTACAATATGTGCACAGGAAAAGCCTATGTCTCTTTACCTGCACACCTGACATTTTAAAGGGACACTATAGTCACCTGAACAACTTTAGCTTAATGAAGCAGTTTTGGTGTATAGAACAAGGTTCCTGCAGCCTCACTGCTCAATCCTCTGCCATTTAGGAGTTAAATCCCTTTGTTTATGAACCCTAGTCACACCTCCCGCATGTGACTTGCACAGCCTTCCATAAACACTTCCTGTAAAGAGAGCCCTATTTAGTCTTTCTTTATTGCAAGTTCTGTTTAAGATTTTCTTATCCCCTGCTATGTTAATAGCTTGCTAGACCCTGCAAGAGCCTCCTGTATGTGATTAAAGTTCAATTTAGAGATTGAGATACAATTATTTAAGGTGAATTACATCTGTTTGAAAGTGAAACCAGTTTTTTTTTTTTCATGTCTCTGTCAATCATAGCCAGGGGAGGTGTGGCTAGGGCTGCATAAACAGAAACAAAGTGATTTAACTCCTAAATGACAATGAATTGAGCAGTGAAATTGCAGGGGAATGATCTATACACTAAAACTGCTTTATTTAGCTAAAGTAATTTAGGTGACTATAGTGTTCCTTTAACCCCTTAAGGACCAAACTTCTGGAATAAAAGGGAATCATGACATGTCACACATGTCATGTGTCGTTAAGGACTATGTATCCAGTATTGTTACAACTCCATAAGCTCCAACCAATTTCATTTTTCAAACCTCGGAACGTTTTTTCCAGCTTTGCTTTACAAATGGACTGTTGAATTAATAATCTGCAGTGTTACCTTGGCGTTACTAACATAAATTACTGTTACACTCTGAAGGAAAGATAAGAAAATTATTGCAGAGAATTAATGGAGTCTGTTTTTATTGAAATTGTTTTTACGAGTACAAATTCCCATGGGAATTGCAATCCTTAAAGGGTTGCTCCAACCACCATGACCACTTCTGCTTTTTGAAGTTGTCATGGTGGTAGGAGTCTGGATGTGCAGTGTATCAGCCTCTGTTTCAGGCTGCCTTATGTCAGTTCTGTGCATAATTTACGTCTGTTGTCAGTGTGCACTGCGTGCTGCCGATAGACGTGGGATTGGGAGAAGTTTTTGTCTCCCCTCTCTCCCACCCACACAGATGGAAGCCCTCCCAATCCCATCCGTTATTTTTATTTGTTTAAATCACAGCCATCCCTCTTTCTCCATGCACTTCCTCCCTCTTCCTCATCTTGCATTCTCCGAGGCCCAAGCCCTTTAAATCCTCCAATCAAAGGCTTATCTATGAAGAGCCTTTGATTGGACTTCGGCACGGAAGTGTGCCGAGCAATGCCAGGGAATTTTGTCAGGAGCTGGATTGAGGTAAGTAAAATGCTCCTTGAGCCTTTAGTTTAGGGTGGACATAGAATAATGCAAATAAGGGATTATTGAAAATCTTACCAAAAAGGGCTGGAGAAACCCTTTAAGAGAACATGGGAATGAAGTGGCCATAATGCAGAGAATTATTGTGTTTGTTAGCTTAGTATTTAATGTAAAACTACTATTAATATATATACTTGAATTATTGATGGGGCCCGTTGGCTTAAACTTTTATAAATGCATGCAAAAACACAAAAATATACAGTAGTGCAAGGATTACGGAATGGGAGAGGTCCTTGCAAAATAATCCTTTAAAAATTATTTTTTAAAAGATAAATAAGGTTAGGCGGACATTACACTCAGTTTTGAGAGAGAAAAAATTAGAAGATTATTGCAGCAACTGAAATGGTGGTGTTACTTAGGGTGCCTTTGAGATAATTTGGATGCATCTTAGACTAAAAAAAACCCATGTATTTAATTCCTGCGTAGGTATTAAATAAAAAGGTGTTCACTGTTGATCTATTTTCAATAATTTATACATTTTAGGCCATATTAATTGAATTGGGGGGAATTTTTTTTTTTTTTTTTAACTCTGCTTTCTGGTGTTAAACTTGTAAGTCTCTGGTGAATTCCTGCCAATTCACAGTTTAGTGATGAATGCTTCAATAACAAATTTTAATGTAAAGAGTTCCACTTTAGTCTTCTAGTACCTTGAACCGAAATCTCACCTTTCTCGTGTTGTAATAAATGGATAAATATTCTAGCTGTGATCACGAAAAAAGGGAATACCTCTTCGTGTTTTTCTTTTGCACTTAAATTAAACGTGTCTAAGTGCCCACCAGCATTTATAGAGAATTACAATATTATACAACAAAAAATTGGTTCAGGATTAGAAAGCTTTTGTAATTATAAAGAAGCTACAGACTTTTACATCTAGTGGCTATTTATTTTCTAGATCCTGTTTTAAATGATCATCAAACGCTTTTATTCTGGCAGCTGGGGGCTTGAAATTTCAAACATTTTTCAATTTGTTAAAACATTGCTCTAGAAATACTTGTTAATTTAACCATTGGAACCCTGCATTTCAGTCTTGAGGCTCTTTAACCCCTTAAGGACACATGACGTGTGACATGTCATGATTCCCTTTTATTCCAGAAGTCTGGTCCTTAAGGGGTTAAATAAGATCCATTTTGTGAGTTTTTCTAGCTTCCTTAGTGATTAGTCAGGCTTGCAGGCCAATAAAACCGGAGGAGTGCTAATATAAACCTTTCAAAGATACATATGTTCTGTTAAATATGTAAACACGAGAATCACAAGAGGCAGACGCTAGTTTGTTGGACAAACACATTGAAAGATGTCCCTTTATTTATCTGTTCTATTGATTGACGGGGAGAATTTGAGTATATATTTGCAGGTTTACTTGCTAAACTAAGAATCTCCCATGAATTGCACATTTTATAATTAAAACTGGAATATTTCAGTTCTAATTCCTTAAACCTTTGCAGTGAATCCCAGACAGTTGAAGCTTAGTGAATAACCATTTTTTTTTTTTGTTTGTTTACAGTATATGTATATAAACCATACCGCTTGTTGCATGAGTATGCACACGTTTTGACCACCAGCCAATAGTTTACTAGGGACTAATCATTGTATCAACCTGAGATTGAAACATTTTCTAAGAAGTCAGGCCAAATAAAATATTGATCATACACACTTAAATGGTCATACTCTCTTATACAGCATTGAGCTTCTCATTTGCACAAACCTACACTACTAGCCAGTCACTCACGCATGCTTGCAATTGATTTAATTGTCTTTTTTTTCTTCCCTGATGATCACTCTTTTTGCTGTGAAGAGAGGAGATCAAGATAAGTGCTGTCACGAGGGTGTGTTGGGGAGTGGACTGTCACTAGATATTGAAGCAGAAAGCAGATACTGACTTCATTTGCACTCCTGCACAGGGTCCTGACTCACAATGATGCAAGGAAGTAGTGACCTCTCCCCTCTGTTTCAGAATGGTTTGCGGGGTGTCAAACAAACCCTGAAACTGTATGTTCAACATGAGCCTTCCAGTGTTTGACCTCCCCTGACTGACAAAGACAATAATTCACCAATTCCCTTATGTGTTGCCACGGTTACCACGGAGACCTAGCTCCACAGATTTATTGAGCCTTATAAATACAAGGTAATAAGTAATGTAACCATTAACAGACACTCTAAAACCAATCTAGCTTTATGTTGCACATCGATACATTCCACTTACAGGATGAATGTGTAGAGGCAAACATGTTTTTGTAAAGATGTGCGTTCACTTCCTCACACCTCATGTCTCTTACCAGCAAACCATTAGCTAATCCCAAATAAAGACCAGAATTTTTATCTTTGCGTTGCACAAATTCACTGATGTAGTAAGTGTACAGATGGGGAGGTATTCGACAGATGTGCATGCTGGTTTTCAATTACCTTCTCTCCCACTGTTCTGTAGATCAGTAATTCGAGATTGAATTAAACTTGATGTTCAGCTCTATAACTGCTCTTACAAGTCAGCGTAGAGTGAAATTCCTCATCTACACGAAGAGTCTTGTCTTCCTTTAGGGGGAATAGTCCTCGTACAGTGCAAAAAATTAACCTTTTCTATTCTTTACGTGTCCTATGTCGAATGTAGACAAGGAGGTTCATTCAACTGATATTTACTGTGAAACCTTTTCAAAACGAGACCTACATACGATAGAGGTGAAAATGTGGTATTAGAAAGCAAGTCCCAGCCATTCACCATACCATTATACATTGTCTCTCTCATGTACAATAACCTCCATTATCTCAGGAGGAAGTCGAAATGCTAAATACATTAACATAAAAGCATTATGTAATATAAACCAGAAAATCTTTATAATGGACTACAAAAGGAATTGAGCTCTGGACGTATGAGTATAAAATTTGATTCCCATGTAATTGGCCCCAGGCTGACACTGTCCGTGCAGAAATCAGAACAGTGAAGGGGTGGTGGGGAATCGAGAAACTGCTTCATGTTTTAAAAATAGGAGAGCTACCGGATTGCATCACTTTATCGATTAAAATAAAAAAAATTCTCTGTAAAAGCAGAATAAATGTGGCTATCGGAGCTCCACATTTTGGTGATGGCACACACCAATAGAGAGAGATGATTGTGATGTTGATTTTTAAAAGAATGGAATCTATACTTTGCCTAAAGTTTCTATAAGTGACTAGCATAGATTCAAGATGAACTATAGTCACATGCACATAATTATGAGAAAACCCCTTTTTGAGCTAAGAAAATGCATTAATGTCCATCTACCTTTAACAATTTTTTTTGGGGTGAGGAAGTACAGAAAGATGGGGCAGAGTTATAATACTGGAGTAGAATAGTTCAGCATTTTTCGCTATTAGTTGGCTCCCAACTGTTGCAGATGATTGTAGACCAAAACCTGATTGAATCATCCCAACATGAAACGAGTACAGATTTCAAAATCATGCCAGACAATTATGAAATGACTAATTCACATTTTAATGTTGGCTCCAACATCAAAGTTATACCTGTCAGCTGGTGCAGTTCGAGGACACCCTACACAAATTAAATTTAAAGTTTCTTCCAACATACCAGAATATTTGTACTAGGCTTCTTTCCAACGCATTGTGTCCTCCGAAGGAAAGGATAAATAGTGGTTTCCTAATCCACACATTTTCCTAATTAGATACTCGTAATTGCTTTTCAGCAATAATCTTGGGGGCATATTTTGAAGCAATGATTATGCTAATACATAATGAGTGTAGTAGATAGTAATTTGGACCCTCCACAGCAGCACTTGGCAAGTTGAATATAAACCAAGTTTTCTGTTTTGTTTTTTTTGTTGTTGTTTTTTTTGCTGTAGTGTTGCAGAACCCTGCAATTCAGTTTTTTGTTTGCTACAGTTTAGTGAAGTAAACAAATCCCCAATAAGTTTATAGAGAGTTTGCCCCCTTTTCTTTTATAGTATGTGCCAGGACTTTGGGCCACGCATAAAATAAAAAGGGATTTTATTTGTGAATATGATCAAATTTTAAAGAAAAAAAAAATCTACAATGTGTAATCTTTTCAATGTGTAATCTTTTAAATTCTGATTACTCACCAGATTCACATGTTTTACAGTTGTATGGCAAAATATTAGTATTCTGTATTGAGAACATTCTTCACGACCTACATCTCATAGAAGAATGCGGAAATATGTTGCTTGGTTAGTGACCTTTACAATTAGTCGTTCTGCATTTATAATCTGTTTCCTTGGCAATGATAACAAATACTTGCGGAAACCATTCTAATCTTTAATGAAACTTATTAAATGTTAAACTCAGAGTGACTTTAACCACAGACGTGGAGACGATGGGAACTTTGCATTACTATTATTTTATTATTTTATAAAATATTTTAGAGAGCTGATTCAGGATTATCTCTCCTGGTAATGAAAGGGTTAATGTCTTGTCTAACCTTACAAATATCGTATGTACTCTTATGTAGATATACCCCCAATGCAAAAAGTAAAAATACAAAAACAAACTTATTGCCTAAACACTAAGGTTATAAATACTCTTTAAATGAGCACTATAGGGTCAGGAACACAAACATATATTTCTGACCCTATAGTGTTAAAACCACCAGCTAGCCCCGCTGGCCCTCTCTTGCCTCCCTAAATATAGTAAACTGTTACTTGTATTCAAGCCTGAAGCTGCTGGCTCTGCCCCTGTCTGCCTCACAATAGCAAGCTATCTGCTGACATCATCAGAAGTGTTGTTTAGAGCCAGTCACTATGCTTCGACATAGGATTGGGTGAGACTGTGAAGGAGGCAGATCAGGGGCAGAGCCAGCACAAGTCAAACACAGCCCTGGCCAATTTTAAAACTCACCTTATTTCCAGCACCACGTGGGTCAGCCCCCTTTGGGACCAAATGCTGTTTTGGCCAATCAGGGCCTCCTCATAGAGATGCATTGATTCAATGCATATCTATGAGGAAAATTCATCATCCCCATGCAGAGCATGAAGACGTTGAACGGCACGGCTGCTTACTGTGCTGCTTAGTGCCAGGAAGCCCCTCCAATGGCCATCTGAGGAGTGACCACTTGGATGTGTCTCTAGGGCCAATGTAAACACTGCCTTTTCTCTGAAAAGGCAGTGTTTACATGAAAAAGCCTGAAGGGGAGCTATTATACTCACCAGAACAACTACATTAAGCTGAAGTTGTTCTGATGACTATAGTGTCCCTTTAAGGCTTATTCTGCCTGTTACAAATGTGGGGCTTGACTACATAGGTTCCTTTTTTAAATGATTTTAATTAATGTATGTTTTCAGTATTTTGGCATTTGACACTTATTCACATTTAAACAGAGCATGTATGCATGTATCAAATTGTGGACTAAAGAAAATAAATATATATATATATATATATATATATATATATATATATATATATATATATATATATATATATATATATATATATCTCTTTTTGGGGAATGTACATTTTGTTATTTGTGTTATTGTATATAGATTGTAGTGTAAGTATTTGGAAGGATCTACCTGATTTAGGAAAAAGGAAGTGATTGCGGGTGCTCCCTTTTTTTTTTTTTTTTTTTAATTGTAGCATTTCAAGCTTTTCTCAAACAATGGTACATTCACCAGAGGTTTCTTATAAAAACCACGTTCTACACCAAAGTTCTAAAGTGGAATAATTAGCAGTAAATTAGCATTACATTGATTTAAATCACTTTTCCTTAGCAGTTGATCATTTTTTTTCTGCTTTTTACCTTATTTTATTTTCTCTTTCTTTATAGAGAGTAATTTGATTTTGTTTCCGTTACCATTTTTATTCCTCAAAATGTTTTATGGCTAACAGGATAATTAAGGTGTTTGCACATCAAAGGTGATATACCCTGATGGTTTCCTCTAAAACAGAACTTCCACTTCTTCACGACCAATGGATGCCATTTATGTAAAAATTTCAAAAGCCTCATTTCAGCTGACATGTTCAGCCAATCCATTTCTTCCAAATTTAGACAAAATTGACTTTGATAATGCTAAAACAGAACTTCAGCATTGACCGTAGAGCGAGCAAGGAAATATGGCATTTACAGAGCCTCATATGGTGATATTTGTAGACATCTTCAAATACAATATCAAAAAATATAAACCCAACTAAAGTCCAGAAACCATATGTCGACCAACAGCAAGACCTTATCCATTTCTTTCCAAATTTCCTTCACATCCTGCATCTTCAAGATTAACATTCCTTAATCTTATATGCTACTTTTTCAATCCTACACAACGATTTGCATTATTTGTACTATTGTAATGCTGCTTGAATCTGGCTTACTGCATCCGTATTTCATTTTTATTATTGTACATTTTAGGTTTTTTCGCTAGCGGGGAAAGCAGAACAAAACCCTATAGAAAATATAAACCTATATAAATATCCCCTCTTGGGTAACACTTTAAATTTGACCACACCACACTTTGTAGATCATTGGTTTCTGTGTAAAACGTGTGTTAAACATATCGTAGGTGAACAAGTGTCCCATAAAAGGCATAGGGAGACTCTAAGAAGCAAATGCTTAACAGCATGCTATATGCCAAAGGGTCTGAACACAAAACCATCTCATTGCAAAACAATTTCATATCTAAGGTTAAAACAAAGCATCTCTTTTACATGAAAATGTTTAAATGAGAGCTGACCCGTGCTCCATATACTGTGCTCTGTTAACTTACTGCACAATGGCTTATTACTCCGACAGTTGTTGTGAATGACATCTACCTCAGTGCTCTTACAGCCATAATGCTGGCAAAGCAACAGGGGAGCTATAGTCCACAACATTGGGAGTGCTGAGGGTTGCCTAACCCTGGCGTTCACTCACTCTCTGGACCAGGGGAGATGTTGTATATTGCATTTTTTTTTTTTTTAAAGTCCATCTTATTGCAAGTGATTGTTGTTTACATGCAATCGTGGCTTAATGCTGATGGTTAAAGCACTGAGAATACAAAAACCATGCTTAGATTGCCTCCTGGTGGCTGAGTTGCCGAACCTCAGCTGTAAAACAGGTCCAATTCATCACTTATAATACACACATTGCTGTACTGGACAGATTTCATTTACTCCATGTTTCAAGGATTTGCATTAATTATTTTATTTAAACACAGATTGGTTAAACATGTTTAAAGGGTCTCTGTATATGCTTTTTAAGGGTCTCTGTACTAACGTGATGTGTTTGCCTTTTCTGTTTCAGGACTGGTGGCCAAAAACTCCCTGAAGAAGCCTCGAAATCGGAGCATCTTCAAGGCTCTTTTCTGTTGCCTTAGCGCACAGAATGTCAGCCGACCAGGAGGCTCCAGCGAGCCTCCAACGCAAAAGGAAGAGACAAACTCAACCCCAAAGGTATGTCACCGAGTTACCCATAACAAATACCCCAAAATGTCATGTTCTGTATTGGTATATAGGTTTTAGCTTTTTGGAAAAGGATATATTTTGCCATCATTGCTTCCATAGGTTGCAAGGCTACCAAAACAGAGAAAGGAAAGTTTTAAATGTAATCTAAATAACTGGCAGAGCATCTCATCTATATATTGTGCTCGCAAAATTACCAGGGATAGGAGTGTGTGTATATAGTTTGTCTGTGTGTAAGATATGTCATTTGTTTTTTTTAAATTTATTTTTATTATTATTATTATTATTATTACTATAAAATTATATGACCGTTGACACAAACTACAAATCTCTCAGTTGTAGTGGGTGTGCTTGGATGTGAAAACTCCCACAATGTCTAGTGAGCGAATCCCTGATTATTGGTAGTGCGCTTGGCTTCTTTGTAGGACTCCAGTGCACATGGCATCTCAGCAAATGTCCGTCAAGTTTACATTTTAATCACGGTTTCCCTAGCATGAATAGATTACACTTTAGTTATTCACACATTATTTGCCCTTTTTAGTTCCAGGGATGTAAAATGCGTTGTAGATTTAAGCAATGTTCTCTATTCTGGAATGCTGAGGTCTCTCCTGTAGTATGTGCGACAGAAACATGTATCTCTCACCTATAATTCTTACTGATTCGTGTGTAACACAATAATAGTTTATATTTCGATTTCTTGTTAATAAATAGCTGCTGTTATTTAGATATTATTCACACATCACATAAGTCATTCTTAATCTGCGTAATGTGACGTATGTCTCCAACCCATACACCGAATAACGTAGTAAAAATAGAGAAATTTTGCTAGAATATTCTATTTTAAATCCGATCAGATTCTGATATTCGAGTGGGATATTAGGTGAGGGTTTTGCACATAGCAGTGTCTAGTTTTCTTTTGTGGAAGTTAGTTTATATATGTTGCCTCAGTATTTCTGTGTCATTCTTATTTTACTGCTCTATGGTCACTCTCACCTTAGAAGTGATCCCGTGATTCCATCTTTGTGCTGTGTTCATGCTATTCCGAGCATTTAACCCTCTAGGTACAGTCTCTGCTGCTCCTTTCTTTTGCTATGCCCACTTAACACTTTAGTAATAATAAATAGCTCACCATGCTCCTATGCAGTTATCTTTTCTGAAATGCCATCTTCTTTGTTTTTAGTCGGACTTACTCCAGTGTCTCCAGTATCAGTTCTATCAGGTATGTATCCTTTGTACCAGCCTTTCTGTCTTTTCATCACAGTCTATTTTGCTTATTTTCATGCATAGTATTTACAGTGTTGTGAAATGCGTTGTCAGACAGTGATCCTATAAAACCTGTCGCTTCAAGGGATTTCCTTCCCATACCTTAGGATTACAAACTCAGTGGCACAGTATCTTTCTACTAATGGAAATGCTCAAGAATGGCTGCCAAAAAAAACATTTAATACACTAAAAGGCAGTGTCCAAATGATATCCCACAGCATTTTACTCACTATTGACTTTCTCACTTTAATTTAGGATCTGTCTCACAGGAATATAAGTTATTGGCAGCTCTATTTAGGAAGTCTGAGAAATGTTTCATTCTCACAAGAATTAACATTTTACTGCACCCTATTCTAATAAGTTATAGGTGACTTATGAATGCATGAACTACTAGACTAATTAACAGTGCTGACTGTTTCCACCCGCTACAGTTAAAAGCATTTGTGAGACAGGGGACCTCCTTGCACTATACTCTTTGTATTAAGCTTTTCTAGTGTCCCTTTATTTACATGGCACCAGGAGATTTCAGCAATATGCTTGGGATATGTGACCTACTAGATGTGCCTAAATTATTAACATATCCTAAACAGAAGGTTGTTGTTTTTTTCAGAAAAGCGTAAAACACTGAGAGATGCACTTGGACTTAGTGAGACATATAGTTTTAGTTGGCTGTATAAGGCATCCTTTTATGTATTTCCATCAAATGCAAAGCTCTGTTGGCACAGCCAGGCATAGAATGCTAATATAACATGTATCATGATTCCCTGCTTGTTTACATATGAATAAAGCAGAGGTTTTAAGATTACTGTAACTCAACAGTAAAGCTGTATTCGGACTAGTACTTCTATAATAGCCATGTTGTTAACAATACATGTGCTAGCTTACAATTAAAATAAGCCATGCCCACTGTTTATGCAGTATAGCTCTCCTCTTTTTAATATGGGTGCTAACTTACACCCTTTTAAATTAAGTCATATCCTGTGTATATACAGCACCTCCCAAATGACACATAAGCAAACTTCTGTCTGCACTCACCAGGCCTTAGATTTAACTCACATTTTCTGTTAATTTAAACCTGAAGATGGGAACCTATATCCTAAAAGTTTGATTTCTCCTATTGGCCAGCCATATACAAGTCTCCTCCACATCTTTATGACCAGTGCATTAGAATTCTATCTAGCTGTGGTGATTGCACGGTGGCTGAATTTTCATTGTACGCTAGATTAGTCCTTAACCCCTTAAGGACACATGACGTGTGACATGTCATGATTCCCTTTTATTCCAGAAGTTTGGTCCTTAAGGGGTTAAATAAATGTGAGCATTCATGTATCAATCAGTTAAACAGAGGACAGTTTGTTTCCTGTTAAAACACAAAAGACTTGATCTCACTTGTTTATCTTACACTTTCCGGAAATATTTTAAAATAGAAAAACTTTAAACTGTTCCAGATTGTATTTTTGTAATAAGGCATTCAGAGTTATTCACTAAAGTAAGAATTCAAAGTGAATTTCAAATTCAAGAGAAAAATAGCCAAACTGGAAATATTCTCTGTCATCTCTTTCATGTTCGACTGCTTTGGCCTTAAATTTTAAATTCAATTTGAATTCTCAGTTTGGTCAACAAACCTGATTGGGGATGAAAGGCTTCTAGTGAAAGTGGTAGTATCTTTTCTAATAAGAGTGAGGGACTTTTCCTTGTGGCCACCCTTCACTAGAAACTTTGTGAAATATTATGCATTATTTGGGGCTTGTGCAGTATAATATCCTTTACAACAAAAAGCAGCCAGCCAGATTACTAATTAATGTGCATTATTATTAATTATTCTTATTTCGTATATATCTCACATTTATATATCATCCATTCATTATAAAATTATACCATACTAGAACTGCTGCTTATTTTGAGGGATTTCCACTTTTTTTTTTCTTTAATTCCATAAATCCTGTCCCCAGATTCTTCCCATTTTCATCTGTTTTGTGCATAATTCGTAAAAATACAAGAAACCAGTTTCTGAAATGCACCTTCACCGATAAGCTTCTTCCACCTGCACTTTTAACGCTTCAGCCAGTGGAACCGAAGAGGTGGATTAGCCAGATGAGACTCTGGACTGGAAGCATCTGTGTGACCTGCAGGTCGCAGGATCTAATCCCGGCTAGCTCTGCCCACTCTTTCATCCTTTCAAGGTAGATAACGTGAAGACCAATGGCGAATAATTCAAGTGATGTCTTCCTGTACATAGTAATTTAATTTTTAACTGTAAGGATGAAATAGAAGTGAAATTAGTTTAAATCCCACCCTCCCCATTAGAGTGAGCATACCTTTTTCATAAACCTGTCCCTAGTGTTGAATCCTCTGTTTGTGTGTTTTTGTGTTTATGTTCTAGAAACTGTTTTTTGCTGACACCTTTTAAAGAAACATGCACAAAATATGGCTGTCGTCTTCAAACAAATAGTTGTAACAATGAGACCTTTTGTTACCTTGTCCTTAAGTACCAACCACCTACATTTGTATATCCGTTATCAATTTCAACAAGAATAGCTTTATTTAAATTTTGTCTACACATTTACAGCCATCCTGATGACACAGTAACATATACATTGTGGCGATTTCCAGTTCTGTAGCTAGCAACGTCAGATATCAAAATTAGCTAGAAATGGATTGATGCACTTAGTGCTTTTAATGTTGCAACTGTTGCAACAAGCCATCCAAGTTTTACTGACATTTAAATACCAATTTAAACAAGTAGATTTTCTCTTCCTTTCACACTTTTTGCACATTTCTTAACTTTGAAAGAATTGACTTTTGTTAGCCAGTCCTGTGAGAGTCAATGTTACACTTTCAAATCGATAGTCCATGAGGTTGTCCATTATTAAACCCACTTTTTACACTGGATCGATTCAGTGTTTCAGATATTTAGAATAGGACATCCAGGATGTCGGAATAATGGAGGCTGTGCATCTTCTTCTTGTGTGTCAATTCTTCATATGCGTAGTCTATACTGTTGTGTTGATCATTTCTTTAGTTAGACTAAGGATACAAAAAATCTATAGTGAAATAAATTTCCATCCATACATTTGCTAGGATATATGTAGATGAAATGCTATTCACCATAAAGACTTCAAGTTAACTTTGGCATAACAATTGCCTCTAAATCCTCTTATTAAACAGTTACATACCTAAAGTTATTGGTCCAGTATAGAATTCTCTTCTTATTGAGCACCAGCAGATGTACACAGCCCAATTTTTCATTTTATCAATAGAATCATTAAAGTCTTGGCCAACTGCATAAACATTGGTCATTAATATAATATTTTAAAAGAAATATAATTATTTATAAAACATATTAACACTTCTAACGTGTTTCTTTTTTTTTTTTCTTTCCTAAATATTGATCTTAAACCCTTGTGGAGAGATTTAAATCTGTGCTATGTCCTTTTATTAAATTGTCTAGTAGTTGATGTAACTACAGTTGTACCAGATTACCATCTCAATGCAACCAGTCAGACTGATGCAAAGTAAATCCTTTTCCATTTGTACATATTTGTGAATATGAACTGATATATTTTCAAGTCATCCACTTTACATTATTAAGATAATCTAAAAAAAGTGTAAATGTTTTTTTCTTTTAAAACCGTTTTGAATGTGTCATTTTAATAATAATCCTGTTTTAAATTGTTTACCAGTGTCGTTAGACATTAAAAGGCTATCCTTGAATGGAAAAAAAACAAACAAAATTTAATCTGAATCTTTCATTCCATTTTCCTACTTTTCTGGTGATTAAAATGAGACAAGAGAATATGGCTTTATTCCAAGTGTTCTTTTACAAGAATTAGCAGAGATCTGAGACTCCCCTCACACAGATCTCCATTGCTGTGCTTGCTTGCAGACGTCCTATGTACTGGGTATTAACTTATTCTCTTGACTTAGAGGCGAGAATTGAGAGGGGAAAATATAGGATAAATTATTTTACCTTGGTTATGTACTTGACCAGGTAGCTTCATGCCTCCATCTTCTCTCGCTGTAAATGTTGTACAGTGAGGGTGCTAAGTCCCTGCCCTGCCATTTACGGTGCACAGCACTCTCCACATGCATGTGCATGCATCTTACGAGCATGCACATGCCCACATCTTAGATGGTGGCTTGTATTTTCTCAGGTTTAATAAATCTTTTACGTAAGCTGGAACTGGTGCAGGACTCAGGAGAACGTTAACCTGAGATAGGGAGGCAGATTAGTGAGCACTTGGAATCGGTCAACCCTGCCATCTGATAAGTTTGGGGTAACAAACCAACCTTCAACTAAATTGTCATTGTTCGGTACTGCAGTGATGTATCCCCTTCAGTATTCCTCAAATTGACATTAAAAGGTCTCCTAGATGGTGAGAATGCCACACGTAATGAATTTCCTAATGGGACTTCTTTTAGCCATTCTATTACTCCACGGGCCAGTTTTTGGTGCATGTTTCTCTATTATGTGATGCGTGTTTTGTGAAAGCTCACTTTAGTCTGCTTTAGTTGGAGGTAATGTATAAAGAGCAATTCTGGAGCAGAGCTTGTTACAGTTCTTGACTTATTACTCTATGTTTATAATTGTGCTCTAGATTTTCTTTAAAAACATACACCCTATATATTAAAGACATTTCTATACAGTTTGTTGTAAGTTTTAGTAGTGAACCAAAGTTGTCCTGCCCTTTATTGTGTGTCTTAGGTATGATAGCAGTACCTGACCTGCTCTGCTACGTAATTCAAAGTGATACAACATACCTTTGTTTTTTGTTGTGTTTTTTTTCATTTCTTAATTTACTCAGTGCTGATGGTTTTCCTTCTATTTTTTTTTTTTTTTTTTTAGATTCCAGGTACCTCTTTACTACCAGAGGTAGCACCAAAGGATAAAGGGAAGATCTGCATGGTGATTGATTTGGATGAAACACTGGTTCATAGTTCTTTTAAGGTAAGGGGATGGTGGGGTAAACCAGACTTTTACAAAGAAAGAACAACTGTAGCAGGTGAAAAACACAGGAGTCTAATGCATCAGTAGTGGGTCAACAAACTTTCATTGCACAAACGTGTAAGGACTATAGGATTATTTACTTAGGCTATTTTTAACCTAAACGTTTAACAGTCAAATTTCTCCAGCCATTCTCAAGCCAAACTGTACCCTTTAAAGATAAAATTAACAAGTATAGTACAGCACTTGATGGATTTAGGTTATTTTGTTATTGCGTTCTAGAATAGACTGGGATATACTTTAAAGGATTACTCCAACTCCCCCCCCCCCTTTGAATAATGCTTTATTAAGATTGGGGAGGGAGCAGTGGAGGAGGAGGGTTTGAGGAAACAAAATAGTGGAAGGAACAGGGAGGAGGGATAGTAGACATAAGCTTCTGGTTGCAGGCCCTGTCTGATTGACTGTCACAAGCTAACTACAGAGGTAAAATATGCATAGAATTTACATTGGCTGCCTAAAATACACGTGCTGGGGGTGTCACAAGTGCCAGCACACAATAGTAAATAACACTGCACATCCAGACTCATACCACCATGACCACTTCTAAAAGCAGAAGTGGTCATGGTGGTTGTAGTAACCCTTTAATCTTGTTTCTCTCACTGATAAAACAATAAATTCTTAAAGGATCACTATAGGGTCATGAACATGTATTCCTGACCCTATAGTGTTAAAACCACCATCTGGGCCCCTCATGCCTCCATAAATATAGAAAAATCTTACTGTATTCAAACCTGAAGCTGTAACTCTGCATGCTGTCTGTTGACATCATCAGAAGTGGTGGCCTGATCCAATCACAGTGCTTCCCCATAGGATTAGCTGAGACTGACAAAGAGGCAGATCAGGGGCAGAGCCAGCATGATTCAAACACAGCCCTGGCCAATCAGCATCTCCTCATAGAGATGAATTGAATCAATGAATATCCATGAGGAAAGTTTAGTGTCTGCATGCAGAGGGAGGAGATACTGAATATTTGGATGCATTTTAGGCAGCCATGACCCAGGAAGGATCTCTAGCAGCCATCTGAGGAGTGGCCAGTGAAGTGATCACTAGGCTGTAATGGAAACACTGCATTTTCTCTGAAAAGACCGTGTTTACAGCAAAAAGCCTGAAGGTAATGATTCTACTCACCAGAACAAATTCAATAAGCTGTAGTTGTTCTGGTGACTATAGTGTCCCTTTAAACACCTGTCCTTTCCTGTAGAGTGTAGGAATGTAACACATATTCCCCTTCCTCCTACATATGCGTTTTACAGTGCAATTAGAAAACCTTTCCTTTATTTGTGGAGAATGCAATCAGGGTTAAAGGAACACTATATTCACCTAAATTACTTTAGCTAAATAAAGCAGTTTTAGTGTATAGATCATTCCCCTGCAATTTCACTGCTCAATTCACTGTCATTTAGGAGTTAAATCACTTTGTCATTTAGGAGTTAAATCACTTTGTCATTTAGGAGTTAAATCACTTTGTCATTTAGGAGTTAAATCACTTTGTCATTTAGGAGTTAAATCACTTTGTCATTTAGGAGTTAAATCACTTTGTTTCTGTTTATTCAGCCCTAGCCACACCTCCCCTGGCTATGATTGACAGAGCCTGCATGAAAAAACAGATGTAATTTACCTTAAATAATTGTATATCAATCTCTAAATTGAACTTTAATCACATACAGGAGGCTCTTGCAGGGTCTAGCTCGCTATTAACATAGCAGGGGATAAGAAAATCTTCATTAAACAGAACTTGCATTCTTGCAGAATAAAGAAAGCCTAAATAGGGCTCTCTTTACAGGAAGTGTTTATGGAAGGCTGTGCAAGTCACATGCAGGGAGGTGTGACTAGGGTTCATAAACAAAGGGATTTAACTCCTAAATGGCAGAGGATTGAGCAGTGAGGCTGCAGGGGCATGTTCTATACACCAAAGCTGCTTCATTAAGCTAAAGTTGTTCAGGTGACTATAGTGTCCCTTTAATGTGAACATTCAAAGCAAAATTATATCAAATGATTGTATTGGTACCAGACTGTCCCTTAACCCCTTAAGGACACATGACATGTGTGACACGTCATGGTTCCCTTTTATTCCAGAAGTTTGGTCCTTAAGGGGTTAAAGTGAAAATAGCATACCTTGAAACCATTGCTCTGTTTGGCTACTCTGGTCTTGAATTAGAAATTCAATTTAAATTCCTACTATAGCACTGGGTTATACAGAGGCCATGTTATATGTTGGGTTCTTTCAGAAGAGCTTGTAAGTTTCGATGTTGTTTGTTTTTTAACACTATTTTACTACTGACCATGTTTATATGTGTACATTAAACTTAAATTATTTTGTTATCTATCTGTGTATTGTTTTATAAATAATGCACACTCACTGGTTTACAGTTAGGATTGCCATATAGACATAATATTCTAATTTCTCATATGACAGTCCTCAAGGTAATGTTTTTTATTTTATTTTTCTCAGCCAATCAGCAATGCAGATTTTATAGTACCTGTGGAGATTGAGGGAACAACACATCAGGTATGTTTTTTTTTTTTTTTTTTTAACTAAAAGGGAGTTCTGGGGTTGCTGATAATGAATATAAAAAAATGTATGTGTACTTCATTATAAATAGTCTGTCATTCTTTGGGAGGAAAGTTTCAACACGGTATTGTATCTAATTAGATTAGGAATAGTAGGTGTGTACCAACATTGTAGTCCAATATAAAAGCTGGGTTTCCGTACTGAATGTAAGTATGTGAATCTTAATTATTTTGTTTTAAATAACTTTTTTTCCCTTAAGACGAAATGAACAAAAATGTAACATGTTTGTATACAACAGTGGTTGAGAGTGGGGGTGGGGGGGAGGAGGAGAAGAAACCCTAGACTGACTCATTTCTTGATAAAACACATTCAAAGAACAAACCAACAAATTTGGTACTGGTAATGGGCAAAATGTGTAATTATATGTGGTTAAAAATACAAAGGTTTATAAAAAAATAAAAATAAAAAAGAGACATCCTACGCACTTTACAGAAAAACCAGGGACCTTCCTGTTGTTGGATTGGTGCTCTGGTAGTTCTAACTGCATACTCCTGTAATACCTTTTATTAATAATGAAATAATGCTGGGTATTCTAAACATTTATTAGTTTAGTGCCCCCCACCCCCTTGCTTAAAAAAAAAGAAATAAGTTTTGCTTTGTGATTATAATAACTTTATTCCTGATAGCGTGGAGAACAAAGGTCTGACAATTGTCACATTGCATTTTCACCAATTCCAACCCGAATGTAACTAGGAGGTGACTTCTGCTTTGAAACAATCTTAAAATACAAAAGTTCTTGGTAGTTAAGAAATTCTTCATTCTGCGGGAAACTTGTCCAACTTACATTTACAGCAGGTTCCACATCATTTTCAACAGATTTATTTTTTATTTTATTTTTTGATTTGTGTGTTGTGTTTTTTTTTTTTGTGTGTGTGTGTGTGTTTTCTTCTCTCTATTAAGATGCCTAGCTTGGAAGATGTCACAGAAATCCTAGTATATGTAGTCTTTTATGTCTCTCCCACTGTAGGCATGGAAAATAATTACTAATAGTTACAGCGGCTATAACAATGTTTCTGTTTTTATATGTAACAAACATTTCTTTCTAGAGACACTTTGTGAAACAGAAGTGGCTCCAGCCTGATTCAAGTAATCCAGGATAGGCTGTTTCCTCACAGTACGGCCTACTCTTGATTACTTGTTTCAGGAAGTTGCTAATTTTGCGTCTTCGATCTTCTCTTCAGCTGCACATCTTCCACCCTGTCCCACTGGAAGATGCCTATTAGATGGAAATATATTTAATGCATCATAGAACAAAGAACTTTTGCTTAAAATAACAATATTGAACATGTTTCCAGTTGGGTATATGTTAAAATTCAGGATGTATTCCAATGCAGGTTTATTTTACTCTGTGTAAGATGATGCGTCTGGTAAGAAATCAATGCTAAAAAAAACCCCCACCTAAATGTGTTTACACCAAGAAGTGACTATACCGGGATTATCTCATCTTTTCATTTTGTGGGTTTTTTTGACACTTGATACCAGTTTCTCAAGGACTTTTAGAAATATTCATACCAGCAAAAAGCAGGTCTTTGTGCGGTCACCATACACAGCTATGTTACCCTCTGTTGCCAGATTGTGATTTCAGAATCTTGAATGATTCCATTGCTGGCCATGTGTTGCTTCTAGACATGGCGCGCTTCAAGTGTAAAGAGCCAGCCGCTGTCTGAACATGTAATATAATCTTATTGGATCTTGTTTCTCTCTTGTTCTTCCACTCAGGTTTATGTTCTAAAGAGGCCTTATGTGGATGAGTTTCTAGAAAGAATGGGCGATCTGTATGAGTGTGTATTGTTCACTGCCAGTCTTGCCAAGGTAAGGAACAAGATACTGTCACTTCTCATGCGCATAGTATGAAATGCTTTTGGATTCGGGGTTTTGCCCTATACTTAGGAAAGTTTGTAAGATTGTGCCAGTTGAACTTGCAATACCTAAAGAAGTAGGCATAAGGAGTAGACTTGCTGTGTTAGAAGTTCTTTAACACTTTTAATATGTATTATTAAGTGGTGAGCCTCAGTGGTGTGAAAAGTCACCATGCAGTTAGTCTTAGGTGTTAACTTTGACTACGTGTGTAGAGCTTAAGTCTATCCTAGACTTAAGATAAGGCCAGGGACTAATTAAAAGGATTTTGAAAATTGGGTAGACTATATGGGCCAAATGGTTCTTATCTGCCGTCTCATTCTATGTTTCTTGCCCCTCTGCTGCCTCGTTGTACCAGTTCATTATCCAAAATAATGTTTTTCACTTACAATAAATATATACACACACACACTGATACATTGATTTCTTACAAAGTTCTGAACAGGATTTTGATGAAAAATATTTTTCTGGTATTTAACTCCCAACTCCCTTGTGACATCACAGATCCAGTCAATAAATCGGGTCAGTCAGGAATAACCACTGTTGTGCACGCGTTCCACGCTCTGTTTGTATTCCCCAAGGTGGCTGGTTTAGCATTGAGCCCAATGTACTGTTTCCATGCTTGTAAGCTCTTGGTTGTTGATATTGGGAAATAAGATTCTCATAGCAGTATTCTCTTACGGACCATAGAGCACTTATTGAAAAAGATTACTTTTTTTTTTTTTAAATTGGGTTATATATCCTACAATTCATATTTTAGAGTTGGGCTATTTCTATGGAGACCAACAAATTCTCACTTGCATTGGAATCTGTAGATAAAATGTTAGAAGACCAATTTCTTTAAAGCCCTGAAAATTCACACACTGTTTCCCCTCCAGTACGCAGACCCAGTGACAGACCTTCTAGATAAGCATGGAGTCTTCCGATCACGTCTCTTCAGGGAAGCCTGCGTGTTCCACCAAGGCTGCTATGTCAAGGATCTGAGCCGATTGGGGAGAGACCTAAAGAAAACTATCATTTTAGACAACTCTCCAGCATCGTACATCTTCCATCCAGAAAATGCAGTAAGTGTTTATTTCCTGAAATTCTTAAAGAAGAATGGTTTCATACACTAAATAAAAACCCAGTCACTATTCAGTTGGCAGTAGAACTCTCCTAATATTGAGCGAACTGTTTTATAATTTAACATCTGAATTGCTTTGTAAGGTGGCTACAAAATTAACATTTAATCCAGCCTGGGGGAAAGCTCCTGGTGCCCGTCTCCCTCCTTCGTCTGACGTCAGCTGGGCCCTTGAATGGTCTATTGTAACTTTTTTTAAAGAATTTGACTATAATGCATCCATGCATTGTATGTTGTGAATTATTTACAAAACAAAGTAGGTTTGGCGTTGAAACCTATTAAATACTACCACACTGTTCTATTTTTATTTTACTTTATACTTAATTACTGACCTCTCCGAGGAAGTAAAAAGTTGTACAGGGTAGGGAAAAAATAAGAGGTTAGAATGCCTTGTATTTTACTTGTGCAGAAAAACTGACGTGTTCTTTACTGCTAGTGCGTGTGGCGGTACAAAAGTGATGCATTCAGAAAAGTGGGGCAAAGCTCTAAAAATTAAGCAGTTTGTGTGGAAGTCACTGGTCCTGAGGGTTCCATTGATTTCAATGGTGACTGCATCACTTCTATAACCACACCCACTTTCTGTAAGTGACACCTGAAGTCTCCTATTCTATCCTATCTGGATTTCCTGGGAGCTCTGTACTGTTATTAATGACCATATGTATTCTTGTTTCAAACACCTTCATAGGAAGTGTGTCTATAGATTTTTTTTGTTGCTACCCTTTTCCTTTAGTTCAGTGGTGAGACTTGGGACTGATAGAAGCTATGGGATTTGTCTGGACATGATGTAGATGACCCTCTCCATCCATTAAGACTTTTGCAGAGTTATTTGCTAAAGTGGGAATTGCTGGACATTTCATAAATAGCCCATCTAGTTGCATAGCTAACTATGCGAATTTTTCCAGTTTGGCCATCTCGGCTCAACCTGTGAAATACCCTTTGAATTCACACTCAAAATAATAACCCTGCTAGTCCTCTCGTACACGGTTTCAAACTCCATTGTAAAAGGAGTGATAGCCTCCATTTCCTTCTGGCATATGAAAGGTTTGGTTATTCGGTTGTCGAGAGGTTGTTATGAATTTGGTTATTGGAAGAGCAATGTTCTGAAAGCAGTGCATTAGGTCTGTGTTTAAAGTGCTGCTATTGTGATGTGGAAGACAGAGCTTGCATCCAGACCATTGATTCTTCTTCACATGGGGAATGATTTTATATAAATAAATAAATATATATATATATATATATATATATATATATATATCTATATATATCTATATATATATATATATATATATATATATAAATTTATTATTGAGAACCTTGATAGCTCCCGGATAAAGGACATCACTGTCTGGTTGTGATTGTACAAATTCAGGTGTTTTGAGCTTCTCAATAGAGAGATCATCAAGTGGCATTTCTGCTATTCTCTGTTTTTGTATCTAATTCTGCTTCTCATACAATTATATTGCTGACAGATTGTATTGAGCGACAATAAGATCAGGTTGCTAGGATACCTTTAACAATACCATATGTCTAGAACTGAGCGAAACACTGATTAATTCTTTCCATTCCAGAACATTATGTAGCCCTATTGCTAAGCTCTGTATTTCAAGTCGTTAAGTTATTTGAAAGAGGATGTAATTATTTATTTATTTTCTTTCCCATCTCTGACAAGGATGTCAGATGTTCAGCTAACCAACTTTTTTTTTTTCTTTTGCCTTCTTAATCTCCAGTGTAAATAATGCTTTAAAGGGAAACTGTCTTCATTTTTTTTATTGTGATTGAAAATAAAATATTTGCATCAAGTGACATCGGCGCTGGATTCAGGTAAGTAGCTGAAGGGGTTTTAACTCCATGATCCTCTAGTGCCAGGAAAACAGGTTTGTTTTCCTGGCTCTGGAGAGTACCTTTAAAAATGGCCTCCCCCATAGAGCAAGAGTAAGTCAAGAAATGCACTGAAAAAAATATTTACTGACGTAAATGTGTACATTACAAAATAGAGCACCCAGAGGTTCTAATACATGTCCTCTTTCATTTTCAATACTGATTTTTTTAAAAGTAGAAGAAATTAAATGAAAAACTAATATTTTTTTATGATTCATTTATTTATACAGCATAGAGGAAATAAAACATAACATAACAAGATAATCCAATTCTGTTATATTTTTGTTAAGTTTCCTTAATCGTAATCCTTTCACCCCTTTCTTCCCTCTAGGTACCAGTACAGTCTTGGTTTGACGATATGGGGGACACCGAGCTTCTGAGCTTAATCCCGATCTTCGAAGAGCTCAGTGATTCTGAGGACATTTATACAAGTCTTGGGCAATTACGAGCGCCATGAGGTCCCTCCACTTGCCTTCCCTTTTTTTCAGGGGACTTTTTATATCTTAATATTCTTTCAGAAACAAAATGTCTTTAAAAACAAATTCTCACTCGCAGTGCCTTTGGCCTCAGAGGAAGAGGAACAGAAGGGGAGTTTCTGATGTGGGAATTTCTCATAAATGTGAGAAATAATCTTAATTCTCTCCCTGGACTTTACCAAGCAAAGCAGCTATGACTTACACTCCTAGTAGCTAGCGTGTCTTGCGGCATGCTGGCATCGAATGCAGGGATACATAAATGCCATTTCTTTGGTGCACTGGTAGGAGGAAGTGTCCTTTTTATTTGATAATGGTACTATGTACCTAAATTCTAATTCTGCTGCATCTCCAGTGCTACACAGTATCGTTCTGTCAGCTCTTTTGTACACTGTTGAGGTTCATCCATCTGAAAGTGTCCTGGGCTATCATACTGATTAGTGAATGAACACCACCACTACTCACAGTAACTGCTACTTGATGAGGTACATGTGCCCCACTAGGTATTAAGGGCTCAGATCAAAAATTATGTGGGGAATTCTGATTTTCATAGGTATGGTTGATGGCACCAGGCACGAGCGTGGGAAGGTGCTAACATTCAATCAAGAGTATGTCCTCTTTGCAGAGAACTGGTCACTTAAACAGTGTTTTAGATAAATGTATAGAGCAATAATAAAAAATAAAAAAAATCAATACATTGTGATAACAGAATTGCAAGGAAGCATGAATAAAATACTAATGGTTTGAAGTTTGACACCAACCATTTTATGACCTCACTTTGAGCCCTCTACGCAAATGAATTATCCATGGCAAAGGATCGTTTGCTGAAAGGTTGGCGCAGTGATGGCATGAAGAAAGAAAGGAATCAGCCAAGTTATATATATATATATCTATATACATGTTTTTATTTATTTCTTTTCTTCTGCATAACTGTTAACACGTGCTATGAGGTGGCAGTGTCCCTTTTCATTAAAGCTCATCATCTTTTCTGATGATTATCGTTCCCAGTGATTGCATCATCGTCATGTTGGCTGCCATCAAAGGAAAATAGATTTACTCAATATCAAAAAGTATGTCCTAAGATTCCCCGGAACTTTGCCCACATTGTGCCATCAGCCGTTGCAGTAAGAACACACATTCATTTAACCACCTCGGCAAATATTTATCATTTCCATGCGTTATACCAAATTTTGACATATCGGGATTTCCAGTGCCAATTTTTAACAAGCCAAGGGAAATCCAGGTATACGTATATTTTTGTGAATGTTATAGATGCTCTCACAAAATTGGAAAAAGCATGTTTCCTTCGACTTCCCGCGTATGGAGTTTGATTGCAGTGCAATGACAGTGTAGCTGACACTTTTCACGACCTCCTGTTTGGCTGGAAAGTTGAATTTACTAGTCTAGTTATTTTATAAAGCAAAGCCTTATGTGCTTCTGAAGCTGTAGTCATTTGATTTGACAGCACAGCTCATTGATACTTGTAATGCCATTCGTAACACTGGATAGATCCAAAGAAATGCATTACAATTCCGTACTAGATTCTCCCTATTATATTTCTAAAACTACAAGCACATTCTCTGCTTGTTTAACTTGGTATTTAACCAATATTCAGGAAACCGTGGACAATTGATCATTTTGTTGTATTTGGTCCAAAAAGTAAAAAAAAAAAAAAATTCGGCTGCTTAGCCATTCGTCTTGTGTAACTTGAAACAGAATATAATTGTCTACTGGCTCCTAATGGGAATCTCAATAGCTTTATTTTGAGGTTAAGATCTATGGATTAATTAAATTGTACTTTTGTTTTTAACTAAACTTGTATTGAAAAGTGGTGCTTAACTATCTTAACCGTATGAGTACCAGGGATGAGCTTACATACATTTTATACTGTTCCATCAACTAGCACTCATAAGGTTAAGTGTTTCTGCCCCAAGGACCATGCACTAAAAGGCAGTGCCTTATTATAGTAAGGGAATTTATTACATATCTTATAATTCCACCTAGCTCATTTAGTAACAAGAATCTTGTTTAAGTGAATCTGACATGCATTTTTAGCATAATTTGGCCATGATAACACTTTTCTCAGAATTCTTAGTCATGACAGATTCTTCTATTAATTCTCTCCATGCTGCATTTTATTTCTGATATTTCCTGATTTCCAATCATTATGTAAATAGTGAGACTCCAGGAAGCCAATTTACAATCTAATTGGCCAGGAAGGAGAGGCCTGTGTGATAAAGTAGCCACCACATGCACACAACGTAAAAATGGGACACATTATAGGGAATAAAAAAAATTCTAAATTTGAATTTTATTATTCTGAAAACAAAATGACAAATTTTCATTTAATAATAATCTTCATTTTTACTATTCTTTTATGTTGTCAATTTATGTCAAATGGTTTTTTTTGTTTGTTTTTTTTCCTTGATTGCTTTGTGGTTGGAATCATGTGGTCAGCTTTGTTCCAAGTTCTTTAGTCTCCCATATCGATAGACCTGTGCTATACAGCTATTTTATCATACTAATTCGCTAACAGTGTTGTATGCCTTACGTTGATTAATCTGTAAAGATACATATACCCAGTTAGACAAAAGATGTATTTAGTCTGCTGTCGGGAACCACAAAATCTATGTATTTAAGATCCATAAAATCGGACTTCGCACAAGTTTGTAGAATTTTTGAGCCGAAATAAGACTTGCGTCCATAGATTTATATAGAAATATTTGTACATGGGATGTCAACAGTAAAAAAATGTATAGATGGTGTGGATCCTGTAGGCAAGACTGACTGCATTCTCTGAAAAAGCAATGATTCGTCTACATTCTAAGACTGTTATAACGAAGCAATCATGGACAATTTAGTTAGAAATTAATAGAAGTGGGGACACAAACCCATTTATATTCAGTCTTTAACACGTTCCTAAATTTGCTGTTGATCTTAAAGAAGGTACAAATCCCTAATTTAACCTGTTTTTAATTGTCACCAAAAAAGTAAAATAAACCTTAACTCCCGATTCTTCCTAAAGTCCGCATGCTATTGCTAATACACACTTTACAGCTTTTGTTTTATTCTTTACCAAAAGAAAGGATACACATAGAGTAGCCACTGCTTGGTGAATACATGGCTATTTAAAGATACTACTAGTTCTTCAAACAACATTTGATAGTCTTCGTACTTGAATATTACTAGAGATGGTGGACTGCACGTTATTCACAAAAAATGAAACCTGTTAGAAACCTTATGTGGTGTGCTGCACTGGCTGGGTTAATTCAGATTTGGTTTTTCTTTTTGTCTGCCAACACTACATCGCCATTATTATATTGTATCTTCATGGAGTCCAGTGTGAGAATAATTCACTCAATGCAATGTCATTTTGCTGGCAAAGAGAACGTTTCAGTGTAAGTGTCCTTGAGAATCCTGCTAGACATCTGAAGATGTCTTATACATGTGAACACCCCCTCAATGTTATTTGGAATTGGGACATTGCTGTCTTCTCCTGCATTGTGGGGACCCAAACTTTAAAACTAGGGTTTCCAATAGGCGTTCTGGGGAGTAGTAGTTCAACTGGGGAACTACCTATTGCCAACTCTGTCTTTATAAGATATACAGGATTGTTTTTGAAATGGCTGCATGGACTTCTAAAATGTGTGACATGGTGGTGTATGTTATGTCAGCCTCCTTAAATTTACCTTTGTAAAACAAACGGCAAATGTACATTCCTGTGACCGCCTTATACATGGTATCTGGTACGCTATTTAGGTTTTTTGTTTTCTTTTTTTCTCTGGGTGGTCGTTTAAACAATTGCTGGATTAAGCCATTCTGGGCATTGCTCATAACCCTTCTTTCATTCAAACTTTCAAATTTTCTCCAGAATTGAATGGCTTTATAACTTGAAATGTGTAAGAACTCTTACAGAGCATGTAATAAAAATCTATTTTTATGCCCTTAAGACTATTTGATTTGACTTTGAATGCACTGTATAGTTACATAGCTGAAAAGAGACCTGCGTCCATCGAGTTCAGCCTTTGTCACATTTGTTTTTGCTGTTGATCCAAAAGAAGGCAAAAAAATATCACCATTTCTGCACTGATTACATCATACATTTGTGTGTTACTCAGACTAGTTGATTCTGGGGGGATACATTTTCAAGCAGGGTTGGGGGGGAAAAGTCAGACTCACAAGTTAATTTAACACTTTCTTGGTGGTTAATTTTTTTTTAATTTTTTTTATTTTTTATTTTTTTGCAGTGCATATCAGTTTAACATCCCCGCATGAGGTATCCCAACGACATTCCTCAAGCGTATTTGGAACATATATATATAACAGTTGGGTCAGCTATAAAACATGCACAATTTTATAATTATGTGATGAGCAAATTGTTGGATTCGTCACTTAGCTTATGTGGCTGGTGCTATAGCAAGTATCAACATCTGTATCGAACATAAACTTTCAAGTTTAACTTTGATTATCTAGCTTAGAGTGATATACAGGCTAGTCCAACGTGGAATTGTCTAGGTCTACATATGCTTATTCATTCAGTGTTTCACTACCTCTTCTAAGCAATATAATAGGAGTTTGCTTGAAACCTGAGTCTGCATGTGTGGTTTATATTATATTCATAACAAGAGTATAAACAGACGCTTTTAAGAAGTGCTAGCTTAGTTAAGATAGGTGTTTAAATGAAATGCCACCAGGTTGATTTTGGCATAGTGAGTTATCATCTGCATTACCCTGGATGCCCAAACCGACAGTTACTGTGATTATAATTACAGAGATGTCCATGTATCGGCAAGTATCGCCAGGGAGTTATCTTTTAAGGCTGTCGTGAGTTCCGCAGTGCACTCCTTGGCTGCCTTTCGTCCCGAGGAGCTGGGATCGTCGTTGGTTGAGAGGCATCCTGTTCCCAGGCTTGGGGGTGACCCTCGCGGAGTACCCAGGCGTTCCACTGTATTCCGCAGCCTCATTTCGATCAAAGTGTCCTCAGATCGCCGTGTCCACAGTACCCGGTCAGTAGGTGAGTACGGGTGCGGTGCTTTGCAGCCCATAGTGTCCAGATACAGGTAGCGATATGCTGGGGTTGGTGTTTGGTAAGGACCTCTCCGGGCTCTCCTCCAATGTTGGTCTGTGGGTTTGGTGGTAGGAAGCGAGTTAGTCGCGTCGCTGTCGGCCATTTTGTGAGGGCCGCATGGTAGCCTTAGACTGTCGGCGCTGGGTCGCCCAGGCTTGCCGCCAAGATGTTTGCTTGCCTGGTGGGGACCGGGATAACCCCCGCCGGTCCAAAGGGGGGGTGAACGGAGCCGGGAGGGCTCCATTTGCGTTGCGATTCTCATTACCCGGGGCGGAGAGCGAGGCAGCGGCCGTCTGCTCCACTCCCCTCCCGTGTAGGCCTCAGTCCACCAGCCCCGGGGCATCTCACCAGGACCCAGAACCACCCGGTGTCAGGTGCTCTAGCTGCACTGGGACACTCCAGGAGCATATACCACAAATTTCCAGGGCATTCCAAGTTGAGTAAGGTGGGTTTTGTCACCCTTATTAGCTGGATTCCTCAGGAGCCATAGTGACTTGCAGCCTGCTAGCATGGCCGCCCGGCCCCGCCCCGTTAATTTTAACACTTTCACCACCAAGTGGTTTGAATAGATTAAAAAACAGAACCGACTAATTTGGATGTTTCATAAAATGTAGTTTTTGTTCAATACGGATAGATAGCCTTATTTAATGGAAGCAAAAACGAAAAATTTGGTTGGAAAAAATTTCCCAAACAAGTTACAGATAGGAAAATAGTTGTAAATATATACATATATAATATAGTATAATTATTATTAGTATCACCATTTATATAGCGCCAACAGATTCCGTAGTGCTTTACAATATTATGAGAGGGGGGATTTAACTATAAATAGGACAGTTACAAGAAAACTTACAGGAACGATAGGTTGAAGAGGGCCCTGCTTAAAAGAGCTTACAGTCAATTCTATATGTTTCGTTTCCCATTACATATCACCTTTTATGGCAGCCATGTTGCCTTTTTGGACACACACTGATGCATGCACGTATGTATGTATATATGTATGTATGTATATATGTATGTATGTATATATGTATGTATATATATAAAATATACACAACACACACACGTTGATACGTAAACACAGTTATGCACACACATATACACAAAAATTTCAGATATATTCAGTGATGCAACTGCCAGAAAGACACACTGATATTCAGTAGCAGGCGTCTTCAGACATACACTGGCAGACCACGTCAGAGACTGAGATATACACACTTACAGATACCAAAATAAACTATCAGACACATATACATACTGACATAAACACACAGTCACCCAATTGAGCATTTGTGAGATGTGCTGTAACAACAAATCTGATCCATGGGGGCCCCGTTGCAACTTGCAGAACTTTGCTGCTAATGTCTTGGTGCCAGATACCACAGTTTTTACACATTGAGATCTTGAGGAGTCACATGCTTTGATGCATCAGACCTGTTTGGCAGAACAAGGGAGACCTAAATGATATTAGGCGGGTGGTTTTAGTGTTGTGGCTGATCAATGTATCATGTTTTTTTAGATAGGAATCTTCCTCAGTCAAGTCTGTTTCGGACAACTCATTATTATTGGCGAGCGCCAACAAATTCTGTAGTGCTTTACAATAATATTATTGGAGGGGGAGAATTAACAATAAATGAGACTATTACTAAAACTTACAGGAACAATGTGACAAAGAAAACCCTGCTCAAATGAGCTTATAACTCATCACAGGCCTGTGCCATTTCCAGGATATGGCTGGATTTTGCCCAACTAGAGTCTCTCTTGCCCAGTGGGTGTGTGCCATCTGTAACTACAGTCATCTTGTCAGTCAGGGCAACAGCATCCCTGTCCGTTAATGGTGAGGAAATATGTTAAAATTTGGCCTGTGCTTTGCTGGCTGGGAGTTCAGCTTTAGTAGCAGCTGGCTATGGAGCCAGATGGGCATATGGGGTCACCTGTTGCACATGCATAAATGTCTGTGCAATAGAATGTGAGATTGAAGAGCACATCACCCCCATTGCCGAGGCAAGAGCTTTATTGATAGATTTCAACATGATTCGGTCTAAGAAGGCTTGAAACTCCTCCAACGCCAAATAGGCCAGTTCATTGCCTGATCCCGTAAGGGCTGGGGAGCCAGAGGGACCCTCACCATGGAATTGCATATTTAACAAATTAAATCCCAAACTCATAACCAAGAGCTGGATAACTAAACATTTCTCTTGTACTGAGAATAACAAAGAGGGTGCCCACCACATGTGGCAGAAAAGTTAATAAAATCACATCAGGGTCAGTATCTGGTCACAATCCTATTATTATTAAAATCACACTCAGGATTCACAGATAAGTATGTCTAACCAATACAAATCCTCATCAGGTGAAACAGTGAAAATCCTGGTATAGCTTCATAAAAGACAGGCATCAAAATGGAGAAGTTTAACCTAAGGGTGCAAATAAATTCCGTTTAATAACCCTGAGAATAAAATCAGACAAATAAACCAGATGAAGTGAAGGAGCTGTCGATCTGTGCAGCCCATTTGGAGCAAAGAACAAGGAAGCGGCAACACAGGGGTCCCAGCCATTTAAACTTAGGGACCCACTTCAACCGCAGCTCAACCAACAAAATGGCTACCAGGAGCAGGGCTGCCATGAGAAATTTTGGGGCCCCTGACACAGCTCAAGGTCTGGGCCCCCCCGGTGCCTGCACCCGAGTCCGCCCCCCCCCAACCCCCGAGTCCGCCCACAGGGATGCAGTGTCTGCAGGGCCGGTGCAAGGATTTTTGCCGCCCTAGGCAAAAGTAAAGTTTGCCGCCCCCCATGTGACATCACAATACCCCACCCATACGATCTACCATGTTAACTAACACAGTGCTGCAGTGCCGCCGTGTTTACAATAAAAGGCCTGCAGGGACAGGCTATAGACACCAGAACCACTACATTAAGCTGCAGTGGTTCTGGGGACTATAGTGTCCCTTTAATGTGAGGTAAATTAGAGATTAATGCCACGAATAATATACTAGATTGCTTACTTACAACCAGATGAGGATGATGATGGGCTCTAGCTGCCGTCTGGCTCCACTGATCTGGTGTAGAACAGGCTCTCTGGAGGCGGTTTGTAACTGTGGTCACAAAAATCAATGTTCTGGGAGAACGGGAAGCAGCTCCATTTTTTTGAGGGCCCTTTACACAGCTCAAGGTCTGGGTCCCAGGGTCCACCTTCATGTTCCACCAATGAGTTTGTTCACAGGGGTGTGTGTGTGTGTGGGGGGGATGTCCTGATGTGTGTAAGGAATGCATTGTGTGAATCTGTGTTTGTATGTGTAAGGGCTGCAAGGTGAGTTTGTGTATGTATGGGATGCAATGTGTGCATCTGTAAGGGATGCACTGAGTGTGTGTAAGGGGTGCATTGTGTGTTGCTGTGTGTAAGGGATGCATTGCTTGTGTAGGTGTGTCTGTGTGTAATGCATTTTGTGTTTTTCTGTGTGCAAGGGGTGCATTGTGTGTGTGTAATGGATATCAATCTCTCCCCCTACCCCCGTCAATTTCCTTCTCCCCCCCCCTCTCCAATTTCCTTCTTCTTCCCCTCCCTCTCATTGCCTTCTCCCCCCCTCCAATTTCCTTCTTCTCCCCCTACCTCTCATTTCCTTCCTTCTCCCCCCCTATAATTTCCTTCCTTCCTCTCCCCACCTCAAATTTCCTTCCTCTCCCCCCCTCAAATTTCCTTCCTCCCCCCCCTCAAATTTCCTTTCTCTCCCTCCCTCCTCCCTCTCTCCCTCAAATTTCCTTTCTCTCTCCCTCCCCTCCCTCAAATTTCCTCCTTCCTCTCCCCCCCCTCAAATTTCCTCCTTCCTCCTCCCTCAGATTTCCTTCCTCCTCCCCCCTCAAATTTCCCTCCTCAAATTTCCTTCCTCTTCCCCCCACTGCTGCTTCCTCTCCCTCCCCTCCCTCAAATTCCTTCTCCCCCCTCCTTCCTCCATTCCTCCTTCCTCTCCCTCAATCATTTCCTTTCTCTCCCCCCTCCTCAAATTTCCTTCCTCTCCCCCCTCAAATTCCTCTCCCCCCTCAAAATTCCTCCTTCTCCTCTCCCCCCCTCACTCCCTCAAATTTCCTCCTCCCCCCCCACTCAAATTTCCTCCATCCCTTCCCCCCCCTCAAATTTCCTCCCCTCCCTTCCCTCCCCTTCCCCACTCAAATTTCCTCCTCCCTCTCCCCTCCTCCCTCAAATTTCCTCCTCCCTCTCCCCCCTCACTCCTCATTTCCTCCTCTCCTTTTCTCGGGTTTCCTCCTTCCCCCACTCCTCAAATTTCCTCCTTCCTCCCCCACTCCCTCAAATTTCCTCCCTTCCCTCCCCCCACTCCCTCAAATTCCTCCCTCACCACTCATTTCCTCCCCCCCCCTCACTCAGATTTCCTCCCCCTCACTCCACTCAGATTTCCTCCCCAGTTTTCCTCCCCACTCACTCAGATTTCCTCCTCCCCCCCCCTTCACTCAGGTTTCCTCCTCGCGCGCCGCGTACTGATGCCGGCACCGGAAGATGACGTCATCTTCCGGCGCCGTCATCAGTACGGTGCGCGAGGGAGCTGACGAGGAAGCACTCAGAGGAGAGTGCTCCCTCGCGCGCCGGCCGGCTGTCAGGGCCAGCCTCTGGGGGGCCCTGAGGTGACCGGCTGCTGGGCCCCCCAGGAGAAGAGGCTGGCCCTGTGGGTACATAACGGGGTCGCAGGACCCCCTGCGACCCCGGTATGTACCCACTGAATGTGGGGCCCGGACGACCTGAGCAGTCCGGGCCCCCCAGGACCGCCGGGCCCATGACAACCGTTGCGGTTGTCATGCCCTGATGGTGGCCCTGACCAGGAGCACGTGCACATTTGTGGCCCATTTTGGAAACAAAAGGAGAGCTGATAAAAGGGGGGGGGGGAATCATCGCTATCGAGGAAAAAACAGATAGAAAATACCTTAAGCTCGGGAGCAATAATACAAGTGGCGTAAATGCCAGGAGAAAAAAAAAGGGGGTCGGGGGTAACAGAAAACCACAAGAATCAATTAACGTAATCACAATAAGTTCAAAGCTAAGATACTCAAATATGAACACAGTTTATAAATGAAAGTAAGATAAAGCTCTGAGCTCTGATACAAATGCAAAGACAAATGGTTGTATTTAGCTGATCTGAGGGAACAGCAAAGAAAGAGAGGGGACAAAGATGATCTCAAGCCTTTTATAGACTTTACTCGTTTGTGATTGGTTATTGTTGTTTCTATGCGGTTTTGCTTTACCTTACATAAATGTGCTCAAATTTTTTTCTTTGCTGCTGAGGGAAATAAAGATATAAAAGTATAATAGGATCGAACTATAATAGGATCCTCATCTTTTTTTTTTTTCTTCATAAAACCAGATATTTTCTAGTGTGCTGAAATGCATTGGCTGAATATTTATGCTCCTTTATTGCAAATGGTATTTTTATTTAAGAGCAATGGCAGAAATCCTCTTAATGATGTATTTATAGTCAAAGGTTAGAACTTACAGTATTTTAATTCAGTGTCGAGGACCAATTTATAAAGAATGCTGTGAATTTTGTTTTGAGCGGCAAATCAAAGGCAGGCGAATCAAACTCTGTAATGGGGGTGGTAATCCATCCAGGATTTCAGGACTTCTCAAATTAGCAACCTGGTAAATAATATAGTAATAATATAATAACATAGTATAATCAAACTAACACATAGTTATGTGTTGCATATCTTAGTGTAAAAAAAATAAAAAACCAATACAATTTGGATTCTAGTTGACAACACAGATGTCTTGCTCCATCACAATGTACCACTTATAAATGGTAATGTACATTCCAAAGTATGTGAACAGCTCATCTAAAACGTGGATTTGGTTATTTTGGCCACACTCTAACATTTGCATGAAATTGTAAAGCACACAGTAAGTCATATACATATCCATGCAATAACTGACATACTGGGAGCTTTTCAGCAGCGAACCATCCACTGAGTCACTGAGGGATGTATTAGAAACATAGAAACATAGAATGTGACGGCAGATAAGAACCATTCTGCCCATCTAGTCTGCCCAATTTTCTAAATACTTTCATTAGTCCCTGGCCTTATCTTATAGTTAGGATAGCCTTATGCCTATCCCACGCATGCTTAAACTCCTTTACTGTGTTAACTTCTACCACTTCAGCTGAAGGCTATTCCATGCATCCACTACCCTCTCAGTAAAGTAATACTTCCTGATATTATTTTTAAACCTTTGTCCCTCTAATTTAAGACTATGTCCTCTTGTTGTGGTAGTTTTTCTTCTTTTAAATATAGTCTCCTCCTTTACTGTGTTGATTCCCTTTATGTATTTAAATGTTTCTATCATATCCCCCCCGTCTCGTCTTTCTTCCAAGCTATACATGTTAAGATCCTTTAACCTTTCCTGGTAAGTTTTATCCCACAATCCATGAACCAGTTTAGTAGCCCTTCTCTGAACTGTCTCTAAGGTATCAATATCCTTCTGAAGATACGGTCTCCAGTACTGTGTACAATACTCCAAGTGAGGTCTCACCAGTGTTCTGTACAATGAGTACTTCCCTCTTTCTACTGCTAATACCTCCCCCTATACAACCAAGCATTCTGCCAGCATTTCCTGCTTCTCTATTACATTGTTTGCCTACCTTTAAGTCATCAGAAATAATCACCCCTAAATCCCTTTCCTCATATGTTGAGGTTAGGACTCTATCAAATATTCTGTACTCTGCCCTTGGGTTTTTACGTCCAAGATGCATTATCTTGCACTTATCCACATTAAATGTCAGTTGCCACAATTCTGACCATTTTTCTAGTTTACCTAAATCATTTGCCATTTGGCTTATCCCTCCTGGAACATCAACCCTGTTACATATCTTAGTATCATCAGCAAAAAGACATACCTTACCATCAAGACCTTCTGCAATATCACTAATAAAAATATTAAAGAGAATGGGTCCAAGTACAGATCCCTGAGGTACCCCACTGGTGACAAGTCCAAGCTTCGAATATATTCCATTAACTACAACCCTCTGTTGCCTGTCACTCAGCCACTGCCTTACCCATTCAACAATATTGGAATCCAAACTTAAAGATTGCAGTTTATTGATAAGCCTTCTATGTGCAACAGTGTCAAAAGCCTTACTGAAATCTAGGTAAGCAATGTCTACTGCACCACCCTGATCTATAATTTTAGTTACCCAATCAAAAATCAATAAGATTAGTTTGGCATGATCTCCCTGAAGTAAACCCATGTTGTCTCTGATCTTGAAATCCATGTGTTTTTAGATGTTCATCAATCCTATCCTTTAACATGGTTTCCATCACTTTCCCCACTACTGAAGTAAGGCTTACTGGCCTATAGTTGCCCGACTCCTCCCTATTACCTTTCTTGTAAATGGGCACAACATTCGCTAACTTCCAATCTTCTGGGACTACTCCTGTTAACAATGATTGGTTAAATAAATCTGTTAATGGTTTTGCTAGTACACCACTAAGCTCTTTTAATAGCTTTGGGTGTATTCCATCAGGTCCCATTGACTTATATGTCTTTACTTTTGACAGTTTAAATAGAACCTCTTCCTCTGTAAACTCACGTGTAATAAATGACTCATTTATCCTTTTTCTCAACTGAGGTCCCTTTCCTTCATTTTCATCTGTAAATACAGAACAAAAATATTCATTGAGACAGTCAGCTAGACCTTTATCCTCTTCTACATACCTTCCTTATTTTGTTTTTAATCTAACTAATCCTTGTTTTACTTTTCTTTTCTCATTTATGTATCTAAAAAATGTTTTATCCCCCTTTTTTACTGACTGTGCTATTTTCTCTTCTGTGTGTGATTTGGAAGCTCTTATAACTTGCTTAGCCTCTTTCTGCCTAATCTTATAGATCATTTTGTCTTCCTCACTCTGTTTTTTTTTATAATTCCTAAATGCTAACTTTTTGTTTTTAACTATTTTGGCCACATCTGTGGAGTACCACAGTGGTTTCTTGAATTCTTTGCTTTTACTGACAAGCCTAATGCAATTTTCTGTTGCCTTCAATAGTGCAACTTTTAAATAATCCCATTTCTCTTGGAAAAATAATCATGCTATCACCATCAAACCAGCTGTCACGGTACACCAAGAGCCCTGCAGACAGCAAGACGTGGTTGCCCCTTTAAGAACTCACAGCTCCAGCATCCCAATCAGGCTCTCTGCCATGATATCCACCAGATATTAATCAAAGTATTAGACTAAATTAGACAGCTTTAGTGCAGTTTTGATTTTTCTTTTTTTTTCACCCTCTCATTCTTGAATGAACACCATGTTTTTTAGTAACACAATAAATGTATGAATTGTCCACACTTTTTCAGACTTGAAATGATCAGTTTAACTTATTTTTCCTGCCAAAACAGTTTTGTTGGTCTTCTGAAATGGAAGTTTCTGTGAAAACTGGTGAAATTTACTATAAAAATAACTGACATTTTTTTTTAGAACACTAACAAATATGAAATCAAAATAATGATGGAATTTAACTATTACTTCTCAGAACACTTTCATAAACATACCCACGTTCAAAGTTCCATAGCAGCCCATAGAACAAAACCATTTTTTTTTTAAAATGTATTTGGTGGATGCTACTAGAACAGAGCCGAGCCGAGCCTGGCTGCATTGTGCCCACCATGACTTTTATGGAAGGGAAATAATGTTTTGGTACTTTTTTTCCCCACCATTGTTTCAGTTCCCTCTCAAATGTTCTAGTAAACGGACACGTTAAAAGACCTCTCCACACCCATAGAGCACTTCAGAGATCTGAGCTTTTAGAATTCGAACTAGAAACAGCTTCCTATTTGTCAATTTGAGGTCATAGACTGGTTCTCTCTTGCCTTCTCTTTTTCATTACTTTTTCAGTTTTTAACAGTAGAGAAAGGTAATTTCACAGAATTGACACTATTGAAGGCGTTACATAGGTACATGGATTACAGTCTCATCCCAAGTGAAGCTAAACCCACATAAGTGGACAACAGCTACATCAGATGCCTGGGTCCTCCAGTCGGTGCAAGGATTTTTAGCTACACAGGCAAAGATGCATTTTGCCGCACCCCGCAAAAAACAAAAAAGTGCCTCTTCACCTGTGTGACTTGTAGCCCCCTTCCTTTGAATTTATCACTTTCTTACCCTCTTTAGTTTTTCATATCCCCTCTTTTGAAAGTATAACCCCTTTTGTGCTTTATATGTATTTTATTCCCTCTTTTGTGTGTCTTACAACTCTCTTTCGGAGTCTCTTACCCACCTGGGGCCCGACAGACAGTTGTCTGTGCTGGCGGCCGCAGGGGGGAGCTGGCTGTGCTGGAGGCTGCAGGGGGGAGCTGGCTCCTGGCTGTTCTGGTGGCCACAGGGGGAGCTGGCTGTGCTGGCTCTACTCCCCCGCCCTCGCGCTACTTAATATGAGAGAGTAAATTACATTGTTATGTATGGTAAGGTTTAACAGGTCATATTCTGGGCCCGGTCTCATTAAGCTGGACGCTGGGGAGCAGAGACAGCACAGCCAACTCCCCCTATGGCCACCAGAACAGCCAGGAGCCAGATCCCCCCTGTGGATTTTTATATATCTGCACATTTTTATATATTTTTTACATATTTTCTTAATACTGTATTAATAAATTTTGTCAGTATCAGCATACAGTATTATAATAGAGGAAATGTAACAAATATCCACCCAGATCTCGATCTCACTTTAGACATATGGAGATATAAGTATGCTATTGTCTAGATATGTATATGATACTATCACTATGTCACTTTAAGGATTTACATGTGTGATGGTGTTTAGCCATAATGTGTTATGACAAGCACAAGTATATATATATATAAATAATTATTGCAATGCCCCAATACTGTTAACATATGTTTTTTCGCTTTCTTCTTTTTATATTTTATAAACTAGGCACTTAAGAGAAAATGTATATTGAGTCAGCTGGATTTTAAATGTATATGATAGGTTAAATGTGAACCTGTACTGTAATTAAACTTGTATTTGAATCATGTTTTATGTGAAAAATATTGATGAATTTGTGAAAGTATATATTGCTGTTATATCTCTGTGTATAAGGAGTAAAATGCCCATTGAAAACGGTGGTGAAGCAGCCATTCATTTATCATATGATGTGCCTGCCGATCCTAACGTTTTTTCTGGGTGCTTTTCATATGTAAATGAAGACTGAAAGATCACACCAATTGGGCACAGGATCAGTCTTATAAAAGCTTCCGATAGTGGGAAAGGAATTTAGCACATTACGTCCTGACGAAGCCATCTGAAAACAGAGAAACGCGTAGACATGTAAGCACGTAAAGGAGGGGGCGGAGCCTGATCACAAGCCGGGAATTCTGAAAGGCAGCCACTGAACACTCGTCTGCTACCCGGACTGCACTTAAGGAACTCCACCTAACCTCTATTCAGGAGGCATCTCCCAGTGTGGGAAAACCTTGTTGTGAGTAATGGGAATATACACCGTTTAACTCACCATCCTTTCTAGTAAGCAGTAATTTGCTCTATATTGTGATTTTACTTTTTTGTTTTTATATATTGTATTGTTAATACATTGGTAATAAATTTTTATTTTATACCCAGCTGATCAAGAGAAAATATGTGATAACCAGCACCAGGGCCGGACTGGGAAAAAAATTAGGCCCGGGCATTTTTCAATCAGAGCGGCCCCCTAAGAAAGGGGCGGGGCCAGAGAGTGTGTGTTTTGTCATCACTAATGACAACACGCCCCCTCTCAAAGTGAGCATGTTGGTTCAATGCCCAGAGCCCTGCTGAAGAGCTCTGACATTAGAAAAAGACCCTGAATTTGTTCTGCGCAGCGCAAGCAAATTTAATAACATGCTTGTGCTGTGTTTGCTTTTAAATTGTCTCTGGTGTTTCCACAAGTGGGATACCAGAGGACAAAAGGGCCAGGAAAGTGCATGGTGCATATGTTTGGAGCCTGCTTGTGGGATTGCATGTGTGTAGAGAGTGGTGTGGTATTGTATAAATAGGTCAATTTAATTTGTGTTTGTGGTGTAATATGTGTGGCTAGGGGCTGTAGAGAGTGTGTGTATAGGGGGCATAGTTTTATAGGGGATGCAGCGAGTGTGTGCATATGGGCTGAAGTGTGTGTGTATAGGTGACGTAGTGTGTGTAGGGGTTGCAGAGAGGGTGTGTTTAGAGAATGTTGTATGTGTTTGCTGACAAGGAATGTAGTGTGTGTGTGTAGGAGATCTACTGTGTAAAGGACCCACTGTGTGTGTGTAGAGGATTAAGAGTGCATATAGGGTAAGGGATCTAATGTGTATCTGGAGCGTGTGTAGTGGTGCAGGGTGAGGGGTGCTGTAGTGTGTGTGTGTGTGTGTGTGTGTGTATGTATGTATATATATATATATATATATATATATATATTTTGACTTATTGTATGTGTGAGGGGCGCAGTGTGTGTATGTAAGAGGGGTGCTGTGTGTGAGGGTGTTTTTATCTGCTGTCACATTCTAGGTTTCTAATTTTCTTTGTCTGTTAACTCACTGAGGGTTATTTTATATATATATGTGTGTGCTGTGTGTGAGTGAGGGTGCTGTGTGTGTCTGGGTGCTGTGTGTTTGGGGGGCGCTGTGTCTGTCTGGGTGGCGCTGTGTCTGTCTGGGTGGCGCTGTGTCTGTCTGGGTGCGCTGTGTGTGTCTGGGTGGTGCTGTGTCTGGGTGCTGTGTGTGTCTGGGGGGTGCTATGTGTGTCTGGGTGCAGTGTGTGTCTGGGGGGTGCTGTGTCTGGGTGCAGTGTGTGTCTGGGGGGTGCTGTGTCTGGGGGGTGCTGTGTCTGGGTGCTGTGTGTGTCTGGGTGCTGTGTGTGTCTGGGTGCTGTGTGTGTCTGGGGGGTGCTGTGTATGGGGGTGCTGTGTGTGTGCTGGGGGTGCTGTGTCTAAAGTGCTGTGTGTGTCTGGGGGGTGCTGTGTCTGGGTGCAGTGTGCGTCTGGGGTTGCTGTGTCTGGGTGAAGCGTGTCTGGGGGTGCTGTGTCTGGGTGCAGTGTGTGTCTGGGGGTGCT